GCTTTTTCTATTTCACTCGCGCGCCTGCGTAAAAAAATTTATTTTCTTTCCCCCCCTCGCTAAAATATTTTTGTTAGCCTATTTGGAAAAAATTGCGTGCACATCTTGGTTTGCGTGCGTGTTTTTTTTTTTATTTTCTCAAAAATATAAATATATATAGTTATATATATATATATATATATATATATATATATATATATATATATATATATATATATATATATATATATATATATATATATATATATATATATATATATATATATATATATATATATATATATATATATATATATATATATATATATATATATATATATATATATATATATTGAATTAACAAAAACAAAAAATGAGTTTTGTTTTGTAATTTTCAATAATATTGTAGATTTTTTTTTTAATAATAGTGGTAAAACGATAGTACACCATAGTACAACATAGTACACCTTAGTATACCATAGTATTTTTAAATTTTGCTGAATTATTTAACAAAAAAGAAGAAAAAAAAAACGTAAGTTTCAAAAAAAAGTTATAAATAAGGAAAAAAAAATGTTTATATATAATAACGTAAAAATGTAGAGTGAAAATTGAAAAAATAAAGATGAGTGAAAGGGCATTTTTGGAATGAATTTAATAAAGGATGTGAAGCAAATGTTTAGTTGAGCTTGTCATTTAGTTCTAATTAGTTTTGTCACTAGGGACCTATATCTTAAGACCCCTTCTTTTTATTTTATTTTATTTTTATTTATTTTTTGTCTATATGTAATTTAAATATAAAAGAATTAAAATAAAAAAAATATAAAAACTTTTAATATCATAAACTAAAAAAAATGCTTATAAAATTAAAATTAATTATGTTAAAATTTGGTAAAATTAAAATTAATTATGTTATAAAATTTGGTAAAATTAAAATTACAAAGTTTTAAAAAATGAATGTATAAAATATTTATAAATTAAATATATTTTACTAATTGCTGAAAAAACCCCTAGGGTATTTTTGTAATTTTACTCGCAGTAACTCCTAAAAGATAAAAATTGTTTTTAGTTATTAAATAAAGGGTAAATTACAAACACCCCTCTGAGGTATGACCAAATTACAAAAACACCCCTCTTGTTTGGATAATTACAACCACCCCCCTCAACTCATCAAATTTAGTGGAATCTTCGAGATTATATGGAATATTATCACTTTTGTACCCTTTTTATCCCATTCAAACTATACATTATGAATCAAGATGACCATAATATGTGATTTTTAGCTTGTATATATCAGTTTGTGGTGCATCGAAAACTGTATTTTTTACACAAAGAGTACAAACTAGAGCACATTTCACGGAATCTAGTCTCTAGATGACTATGTTGAATTTGGCACCATAAAGGTAAGAAAAAATCATAGTTGAGGGGGAATATGTAATTATCCAAACAAGAGGGGGGTTTTTGTAATTTAACCATACCTCAGGGGGGTGTTTGTAATTTACCCTTAAATAAATAAAGAAAGTTTTTAATTCATCCACCGGCCCAACTAAAGATTTCAATTAACGAAATATCACTTATTTGGGCTGGACCACAACATAACCCACAAGACGCTGGTCAAAGTCAAACCATCTGACCCGATCCGTCGTCGTTTATCAAGGAACACGCCCCCCCCCCCCCCCCCCCGAAAATTAGGGAACTCCTAACCTATAAATATCAATACGTCGTCGATTTTGTGCAGTTAGTTTCCAATTTGTCAAATCCCTCAACCGCCTCCCTCAACCGCCTCCCGCTCGCCACTCACCGCTCCTCGGTCGGCGAACGTCGTCGTTCGCCGCTGTTCTTCGTCCATCGTCCTTGATAGTTGATAGTGGTTTGCCGTTCGCTTCTGCTATTTCCCTGCTCGCGGTTAGCCGTTCGCATTTATAATTTATTTTCAATTTTAATTTTTTTTGGGTGTTCAAACATTTTTGCGACGGCAGCATTTTTTCTTTGCTGTTTAATCGGTTTTCTTCTTCTGATATTGTTTCCCCTGCAATTAATTTGGGTTTATCTCTTTGAGATTGTTTCCCCTAATTTGGGTTTAATTTTTGGGTTTATCTCTTGAGATTTATGCGTTTGCGATTCTTTGATATTGTTTCCCCTGCAATTAATTTGGGTTTATCTATGTGAGATTTATGCGTTTGCGATTCTTTGATAGTGGATGACTTATTTTCTGTTTTTTTTTTTTTCATGTGAATTTTCTGCCTGAGCAATTCTTCTGAATTAATTAGGTTCAAGATTTTATGTGAGATTTTCTCACCACTCCTCAGTCTGCGCTACGTTCATCATCGTCCTTGCTCGCGGTGCTCTTCGTTCATCCTCTCTGCTCCCGGTTCCTCGTTCTCTGCTCTTTGTTCATCATTCCTGCTCGCTGTTCACCGTCATTGACAAGGTAATGTACTTATAATCTATTTTCATATTCTTTTTCTTTTTTGGTCTTCAAATATTTTTGCGACGGAACCATTTTTGCTATGTTTAATCTGTTTTATTTTTGTGAGATTGTTTATGTGAGATCTTCTGCCTAACAATTCTTCTGAATTAATTAAGTTCAAGATTTCAAACGATCCAGAACAGTTCCTATATTTCGAACGATTTGAGGGTTTTAAGTTGCATGGGTATACTTAACCCCTAAAAGATCTGATGTCGTAGCTTCCTAGCCCTGACATGGTTTTTTTCATTTTTTGTTAATTAAATATCTTTAAAATCTTCAGATGATGGTTTTCTATGGCAAATTTTTGTTGCCAGTACTAATTATATTGTACCTAGCTGAATAGTGTGTCCATATTAAGATTTTGTGTCAGGTGTAGGCATACATACATACATACATACAAACTTGACTGTCGATACGTTGCTTTTTTTATTTTTTCGTCTATAATTAAGTGAACATAAGAAAAATACCGAGTGTACAGAGATATTTTCTCAACTGTAAGTGACAAATCAATCATAGAGACGTGCAGAAAATACTGGGTGTAAATTGTGTTGTAGCTATTAGCAATACAGCCTAAAAATGTTATTTTGATCAAAGAAAAATGTATAGCACGATAGAGCAAATATTAGAAACTGAGAAATTTAACAACAGTGAACAAGCAGATTATATTCACATTTTCTTATTCTGTCTACTTGCATTGTTCTTAATCACTGTTTGAATTTCAGGATGGATCGGAGATGGATTGATCTAAGAATTTTGGCAAACAGCGTCCTTTTCTACGAGTTTCACGCGAGGCGTGAGACTGATCTGGCTAACGCTAAAGGAATAGAGTTAAACGCCAGCCGGCAGGCACTTGAGGACTTGAATACGCAGGTTGCTAATAGCACTGCAACAAGGGATGCACTGTTAATAGAACATCTCCAGAATCGCGGTGCCCTTACCGATGATGAAATGTTAAGACGAGAGACTAGGACTGAAGCAGCTCTTGATATGGTGAAGGCTGCTCAGCAAGCAAAAAATGTTGAAGTCGACAAGATGGATAAGGAATTCCAGCAGCTCGCTACCAGAATCAAACACCTTACTGATCAGAGAAATAACTCCGAAGCAACTTATCTTAAATTGGTGGACGCATATCACAACCCCCACTGGGTAACCGTCATGGAATCTGCAGATGTCACTACTCTGAGAATGTTGCAAGTTAGACGTGCTAGATTTTCACTGATGTTCTGTTTGGGAGGAACAGTGAAGACATGGGGGATTAAGTCAATTAAAGACCTGGCTGAGGAAATAGGAGCAGGCACCGTTGGGCCGAGAGAACTGTTTCACTTGGAGAATGGGAAGTTCTCTAAAGTACCCAGAGAAAGGTATTTCCACTTGGGATTTTCGAGCATTGAAGGTAAAAAATATTTTCTTTTTACTATTATTTTCGTATGTTTGCTCCTGTACTTAATCCAACTGGGATTCTAAAAAAATTAAAGGTAAATTATTATTATTATTATTATTATTATTATTATTATTATTATTATTATTATTATTATTATTATTATTATTATTATTATTATTATTATTATTATTATTATTATTATTATTATTATTATTATTATTATTATTATTATTATTATTATTATTATTATTATTATTATTATAATAATAATTATTATTATTATTATTATTATTATTATTATTATTATTATTATTATTATTATTATTATTATTATTAAAGTATGTTTTAATGTTGTTTTTACAGTTGTGGCAGCTAATGGAAATGCCGCGTAAATGGAGACGAACACCGAGAAGAGTCGTGAAGTCAGCTTTTTGATTAGCGAAGAGTATGGGTCTGAGAAATATTTCTGTCATATTAAAACTTGTTGTGTACATTAAAACTTGTTGTGGTTCGTATATTGTGCTGGAAACTTAGTAATGACGGTATGGTAGGTCCGTATATCTTTTAGTGAGGGAGATGGTTTCGATATTTCTTTGGTTGATATATGTTGAAACCTGGTTTCGATATTTCTTTGGTTGATATATGTTGAAATCTTAGCAAATTCAGATGGTTTCGATATTTCTTTGCTTTATTGAATTATTTTCTTTTTTCTTTTTTAATCTTTTGGACTGCACTTGTAGTCTCATTAAACACATCGCCACTTCAAATAAGTGACTTAGTTGGGTTGTACCAAATCACAGATCCACTCCGATTATAAGATCAATACATCCGGGTCTGGCGAACCAAAATAGCCATTATGTTTTATTTCCAGTTGTAACAATGTATACATTTAACCTCAAAAATTCAAAATAAAAGTCATTTACATTTAACCTCAAAAATTCAAAATAAAAGTCATTTAATCCATAAACAGCACCAAACTGAAGAGCACCAAACTGAAGACTTATCCCCATGCAAAATATGTAATGGCACAAATCTCTCTACAACAAAAGCAAACAACTCTCATTACAAGTGCTATTCATATTCACAGCATTTCGTTTCATTACGAAACCATAGTTTCTTCGATTCTCCTTACGACTACACTGAGACTGCCCCCGTTTTCCAAAGCTTTGACAGCTGCCCTGTGAGCGTGTTTCTGCCATTTCAGGAGATTGTACGATTGCAGCACAGACCAACGTGCTTGATTCGACATCTATTAGTACACAAGACTCAATGTCAAGTTCAAATACTCGAGGGCTAAAACGGTCATTTTACACTGAGAGAGAGTTTATATGTTAAAAAAACACCTGTGCAACGGAAAGTGGAGGTTCTAGAAGCACAGAGATGCTCCGGAATAGGTTTTCGTCGTTTTCTCCACCTTCAGCTTCTCCGTATACAAGTGCTTCAGCTGCTATCCCAGCAAAGAGCACCATGCAGTACCTGAACATGTTCAACAATTAAAGATCAGAATATTCTACGTTGTACGTAACTTCACATTATTCTACCGAAATCCCAATCGAATATCTAGAGATTTAGGGTTTGACTAAATAGGGCATAATAACCAACCTGTCGAAGGCGGTACCACTTACGCGGCCCTCCGCAAGCTCGTTTTGTAGTTTTTCATCCCAAAATTGTGTTCCTGCCTGTTCCATAGAGAAATGGTAGTTTTGAAACTATAGTGGAAAAAAAGCCGAATACCTTTGAAGGATTGAGTCAACCACACGACACGGGGAAAAATGTCAAAGAGAAAGACAGAGAGTGGAGGAAATACCTGGCCCTGAATGCCCATCTGCATTGCAACAATCGGGTCTAAAATTACACCACGAATTGGACAACCCATCAAGTAAGCTGCAAATTCAGACAACTTTACATTATTGGAAAAAAAACTAACCGGCATGCAAAAATCTACACAAATGTAACATATCCCTTTTATGTTAAAAAATAAAATAAAATAAAAAACGTAGAAAGAAAAAACTTTCAATAAAGGCGGGCCCTTATTTGCCCTCATAATGCATGCTCGCATATATATATTGCTTGCACGAATCATACTATTGCAAATAGCATCATAACTATATTGATAGCATGACTTGCCTACAAGAAGGTGACCAGCCTCGTGAACCAAAATGCGACGCTTATACGGAGGCCAATAACTAGAGATCAGAGCTAAACATGTGCCGCCGAGAAAAATAGCATCTAGCATCGACAATCCAAGAACTGCTGCAAGATTCGGTCGGATATCTATTCCTTGATTTAGCAGAACAGACACTCCACCAAGCAGACCGATCAAAACGAGACTAGAGTTTCCGGAAACTCCCCACTTTTTCGGAGAAAGCTTCGAGACTGGAACAGCAACACAACTGTAAGGTAAATTAATCAAAACTAAAGATTTCGAACATTTATTGAAAAATATTACGCAGGCCAAACTCCTGTTTGCGTAAAGAAAATATAAAAGTATTTAGTAAGACATATACGTATGTATACCTTCTAAACCAGTCGAAGACTTCAACACGGTCGGGGTAACTTCTCTTGGACCCTCTAAAACTGCACGCAAAGTCGCAAACAATTACTCAAACTACGTAGCAGTTGCAGAATTGTTTAGCTGCTACTTAGTAACCGGATAAAATGACGTGGCAATCACAACCGAAGAAAACATGATCCTAAGACTGACCTTATATATACGCTTGCCGTAAAATATTAGAAACCTAGCTAGATCAAATTAACTAACAAACGCGTACAACATAAAGCTCGATTTATGACATCTAACACACTACATTAACAATAAAAAACGCAAACTCGGACGCAGCATTTTTACTACAAGTTAAACCAACTATAGCCAAGTTTGGTAGCATGTTATCTAGAATACCGAATTTCGTCGAGTTCCAATATTCAATTGCACTTTGGTCCAGCAAACGCGTAAATTTTGTAACATTACAGGGTAAAAAAGGTAAAAATTTACCAATATTACGGTATTTTCCGAAATTGGGCAAGAACCCTCGATCTTTGAGAAAAGCATAGGCGTTCGCAACAAGCCTCAAATCATCGGCGTTCAAGCACGTGTCCAGCACCTCCCAATCCCTCTCCAGTCCGAGTGAACTCAACTCGCCATACACAGAACGAGTCGACTCAGTGGAGGAACTACCGAATTCCACCTGAACGTCTTTGAGGAAGCGAAGGGCACGAGCGAGGTCCTTCTCCTTGACTGCTTCTTCGTACTCCTGCCACTCTCTGATCGCTCTGGTTCTGGCGGAGCGCCAGTCGATTTTACGGCGCGAAAATTGTGCTGGTGTAAGGAATGTAAATGATAGTGAGGTGGACGACGGAGGTGAGAAGATGGGTGCTTTGAAGTTTGGAGGTATTGATCTCGCCATTGGAGTTCCGATTGTCTGCTAAATCGCGATCTGTACTATAATTCCATGGTTTTCCTGTAAATAAATGGGCTCAATTTTGGATAATAAGGCTTTAAAAAGAAAAAGAACAAAAAAAAAAAAAAAAAAAAAGGGCTTCGTGGATAAAATGTCACCTCTACCTGCAACTTAATACCTAATTCCCAAATGCGCCACTCGCCATGGCTTACAACATCTGCGCGTGTCCAAATTCATACGTTTCACTCGCCCACAAAATCACTAAACTACGGAATAACTTCAAACTCTTCTCCTCCGCCCCACCGCCACCGCCACCGCCGCCGCTGTTGTTTTCATCAAATCCACGCTCATTCTCGAGAAAAGCATCAATTTTGACCCATGCCGATGCTCAATCCGACGTCGTTACCTCCCAATTTGAAGTTCCATCTTCCAATTCATCCACCAAGCGCACCGAATCCCCCTTTTCAGGTTCGTTTGCTTGAACATAAGCTCCAATTTTCCCGCTTTCCCTTTGGATTTTTGCAATTAACTCATACGTTAGCCTGTTTTCACTTTCTAGGGTTAGAAGCGGTGATGACAGGATACATACTCGGGAAGAAGAAATCCACAGAAGTTGCTCACGCGTAGGTATTTATTGACTCACTGAACAATTAGATTTTCAGTAATCATCATTATTTATGATCAATTAATTGATCACTGAATTGGTACTAGTGAGTAGTGAATCAGTGATTATACTGAATGCAATTACTGGTTTTGTATTAGGGTGTGGAAGAACGTCGTCCGGAAAGGGGACCGGGTTATCGACGCCACCTGCGGAAATGGATACGACACCTTAGCAATGCTGAAATTGATCGCTGACGATGCGCGCAGAGGCCGCGTTTATGCAATGGATCTTCAGAAGGATGCTCTTTGAAACTACTTCGTCTTTGCTGGATCGATCAGTCAGTACTCACGAGGTCACATTTTTTCCGTGTTGAATAGATCGACGATTGAGCTATAATTGTTGCTGTTCCAACAGTCATCAATCATCTTAAACAAGACTATTACATCGTATTTCTTGCCTCGGTTCCTTCATTAACCGAGTATTCGTTTTTGTTGTAATGCAGAGAGAACTTGTCGAACTTTATGCCATGTGTCATACTAAAATGGAAGAGCTTGTTTCTAAAGGTGATACCGTGAGGTACAATTCGTAGACCAGTATTCAAATTTCAATTGGAAAACCCTGTATGATGATCGGGAAAACGAAACTCTCATTCCATGTTGGCATTTTTCGTCTTTTTTTGTTTAGGTTAGTGGCGTTCAATTTGGGTTACCTTCCGGGAGGCGACAAAAAGATTAAAACCGAATCGGAAACGACGTTACTTGCACTGGAGGCTGCCAAGAGAATAGTTGCACCGGGAGGTCTCATCAGTGTATTGGCCTACATCGGCCATTCTGGTGGAAGGTAACTAACGTTATATATTGCAATGTGTGTGGTTTTCTGTTCGGCTTCGTCTTTTTCTTTTTCTTTTTTGGTTTTTGTTAGTAATAATAGAATTATGATGTTATTTTATTCTTCCAGGGAGGAGTTTGAGAAAGTGCAGTCGTTTGCAGCTGAGTTGCCTATCGACAATTGGGTTTGCTGCAAACTCCAAATGTTGAACCGGCCTTCGGCTCCGGTACTTGTTCTATTATCTAGAAAATGAGAGCTGTGGATGTTTTGATCTTTTAGGTTTGTACTGTTGTTTCCTAGGTATATTGAGCGGCGGCTTCTGCCGAGAAAACATATGAACATGACGTAGGAAGTTGTTTTGTCACTTTGTTGATTGTCTGAGATTAGAAGTTGTTCCATCTCAAACTACAGAAAAACAAAAACAAAACTGAGTTGCATCTCAATGAAAGAGTGAATTGGTTTGACATTATTTTGTTCAAATGTTTAACCCTGGCTGTGAAGTGTGAACTGATTGATTTGATTCTTTTTTTAATACATATATCAAACTATCTGTCTATTTGTCATTTGACTACGGTCACCTCTGAGGTAAGATCAAGTTACGAAAAAATCCTTCATGTTTGGGTAATTATAACGACCCTCTCAACTATGAATCTTCTTGCACGATCACTCTAATGGCGTCAAATTCAATATAATCTTCAACATTCCGTCGAATGTTATCTGGTTTATATTCATTTTGTGCAAAAAAAAAAAAAACAATTTCTGATGCATCACAATCTGATTATTTATGATGACACCATAAGAATGGACGTGCAAGAAGTTTCATAGTTAATAATTATTCGTAATTACCGAACATAAATGGTTTTTATGTAATTTAACTTTATCACGGGGTGGCCGTAATTTACCCTATTTTTAATGATTTATAATTTTAAATGATTTATTTTAATTTTGGTAAAAAAAAAAAGAAAAAAAGAAAAAAAAAATGTGCCACGAGATTGTAAGCCCCGTTCAGTTGGTCCAATTAGACCAAGTGAATAACTGTACAAATTGGCCAAATTAGTCCTGCAAGGCGGCCCAACTAGAGCTCCACACGTGTCTCAGCCCTTCCGCCGGAGCGGAGGAACCACCCAATGCAAGGATTTGCCTCGTTACCGAGCCCGTGTCTCCACGGAATGTTGGCCCGGGGACTTTCCTGAGTTCGGGCCCACCCAATTGTGGACCCACAACCCATTCACTTCAATCTCGTGGCTTATTGTGCAATACCTCTCCCTGCCTCATATTTAAACCATCGAGTGTTCTTATAGATTTCCAATGTGGGACAAACCAATATTGAAAATTGAAATACTCTCTCTTTTATCTCTACATCAAATTGATTATGAACTAGCAAACCACACTACCATTAATCATTTATGAATCAGAATTTTTCACCACCCACTCAGTCCACGACCCGTCGTATACTGGAACTTCGTACTTCCCTAGTCGGTGAAGGCCCTGAAACACAAATTCGAGTTTCTTTAATTTTGTCGAGAAAAAAAAAAAGGTGAAACAATGATAACGAACAGTCGATCACTAATCAAAAAGCACTTCTTACTAGTGACATAATACATGCGGTCACACCAGTGCCACACGACAGTACAACGGGGCTCTCCAATGAGATTCCTGTACGAAAAAAAATAGTGTGTGTGAAATATCGAGACAAGAATTATGCCGGGATGTAGGGAATCTTCTTTTTGCAAACCTTCGTGTGCAAATCTCTTCTTCAGCTCGTCTGGGGGTAAGAGATTCTGAGAGGCGTCCAACATCTGAAACCAACGGCAAACGAACAACTTATTGTACTAGTGGAATTTATTATTCCAAATCTCGATACTGATAACCCTATAATTTTATTATCCATGAAGTATGAATGGACAGATAATTAAACCGATTTTTTTCCACATTAGTTTTTTTTTTTTAATGTTGGAATTGCTTACGAAGATTTGCATCGAATCTCGTGGACAGAACTCCAACGATTTCAATTAAATATATCTTGTAGCAGGGTAGACTTTTACCTGGGGAAAGGGAAGACATTTGCTCCCTTCAATATGGCCACTTCTTATTCCCTTCCGTGGTTCCGGTGCAATCCCATCAAATCTATCCCCACAAAATATATACAACGGAATAAATATATATATTTTATCGCAGCAAGATCCATCTTCTGGATTATATACGCTAACGAAAAGAGCTATTCATATTGTTCAGAAAAAGTAGTACGGTAACAATTTTGCAGTGAAAATGACCTACCTAGCTTTGGAGCGAGCATCTACGTGCTGATGAGTTCGTTCCTCCATGTTTTTCTGAACCTGAAATACAGAAAAAAAACCGATAGCTCTAAATGCCGACATACAAAAACTATCAGACAATTTTGTATGTGCGATTCCAAATCAATACAATATTAATTATGTCGAGGTCAAATTGTTGTAATCTTCAATTGCTCGAATTATCAGTACCTGCTCCCTTGTCCAGACTAAATGGGGATGAAATTTGGTTTGGAAGGTAATCGGTCCAACCTGTAGATCATCAAATACTTCATAACGATTTTTTAACGGATGTATGAAAAAAGAATACGTATTAACATTGAAATTCAAAATGTAGGAAAGTATAGCTAAATGTACACATTTACGTACATGCCCTTGGTACACCTTTTCTACTGCATCACTGGCAAAACTAACTTTCAAGGCATCATTAGTTGATTCGACAACAAAGCCTGAGGCAAGCCATTTAGGTAGGCCGCCATTCAAAACCCAAATCCTGTCATGCCCGAACACTTTAAACATCCTGTTTATTCAAAAAAAAAAAAAAAAAAAAATTAGAAGTTCATCTTACTGTGATAATCAAATATGCCTCGGGTAAAAATAACGCATGCTTTTCAAACATGAAAACTCACCACCAAACACGGGCGGCACTGAAAATTCCCTTCCCATCATAAACGACAATGCTGTCTTTATTCTCAATGCCAAGTGCAGAAACGGCAACAGCAAATGCTTCTTCTGATGGCAACATATGTGGCAACTACATGCAACATTCAGGAACGAAATAAGGTTTATTCGTATGCACGTGCATAACTAAAGTGTTAATGTGCTGAGCAAAAATTCGAACATTTAATCTCCTAAACATAGGTGGATTATTGGCTGCAAATGATGTTATATCTTGATAAGAAAAATCAACATAACTAAGAAACAAAAAGAAATTGGTTCTCTTATTTGACCAACGAGGTGCAACATATGCAGTATACAAACAGACCTACATAAAACTAATTATAAAATCATATTTCAAAAGAAGAGCATCTTACATCAGTGGTTCGATCTGATATGCCATCAATATCAAAGAATTGAGCCCCGGGAATATGTGCAACCTGTGAAAAAAGACGACGACAATTTTCAATTTAAAACTATGATAAGAATTTAAGCACTAAACAGCTGTGTTTGATAAGTTTATCAACAAAAAAAAAAAAAAAAAAAAGAAAGAAAAATCGGTCGCAACTTGGATTAGAGTAAAAGTGCTAAAAAGTAGAGCTATTATAGGTATAAAAAAATTGTGAAGCAAGTGATGTTCGAAAGAGAAAAATAAGCAAAGTAAACTACATATGTAGATATAGGCCAGCACCTGATACTCTTGAAGTGGATTTTTATGTTCGTCTGGCATGTACATCGATGCATCCAACACCTACAAATAAATGAGCACCAATTTATAAAGTAAAATTAATTTAGTTACTCCAACACCATCAAAAGCATAGCTGGGAACTCGTGCCCGAAAGAAAGAAAACAGTTGCACATTTTAAATATTTTATCGCCATGTATTTAGAACTAAGACTTCAAATCTAATTTTGGATTGTGAAAGAAACATGTTGTGTCAAGGATTCAAATCACTTTCAACGGTAAAATCAAAGCTGCAAACCTTCACATTTGGTTCTTGGAGATTGGCATGGAGCCAATCAACTGAAACAACAGGCTCGTTAGTCGACAAAGACTGCATCGAGTGTGAAGCTTGTGATGCTACTGCCGAATCCATGTAAGTGAAATACGAGCGGAATTGTCTCTTCTGCAACCAAAGGTAGAGAGAGAGAGAGAAATAAATAGATCAAAAAATTCACCGAGCAACTGATTTTTCAACAGCCCCACGTAATATAACTGCATACAATAACGACACAAGAAACGAATGATCATACACACACATGATTCTGACTGATAAAAACGGAGAGCTTCGAAATCGGGACTATATGCCAGCAAATATATATGTAGTATAAGTTTTCGCTACCGAAATTAAACTCAGAAAATATGATTCAAATCTCATATTCATAATATCCATGTCGAAAGGTTTAATATAAAAAAACATAAAGAAGCATCCTTAATCCGAAAATCGATTGAAGAGTTTTTACGATTCGTATAGTCAATTTAAACTCAAATCACTAAAAGCAATTTATACCAACCCTTGTGGGATAAAACCCCCAAATTCATGGTACGATGAGTTCGTTAAACTGTAAGAGAACATCACCTTTAGTCTAGTGAGCTACCAAAATAAAATTAAAAAAAAATATTAATTGAAGACGAGTGGTTTGAGTGAGTAAGAGAAAACCCATTAACAAACATCGGTGATGTAGAGAGAGAAAGCTAACTTATGCAAATACGAAGGATTTTTCTTCAGGAAATGAAGCACAAAAAGATTGGAAGGAGAGTTGAGAGAGAGAGAGAGAGAGAGAGATTAAAAAGGAGCAACTATGGTAAATGTAACTGCAACTCAACCTGAGTAAAAGTATTTTGTATAGTGAAATCCTGAAAAGACAAAATTAAATAAATAAATAAATAAAAATTGCATTTTGTTAAAAAAAAAAATTGATTTTTTCTTTTAAATTATTAAAAATAAAACTAAAATTACAAAATCAATGAGACGTGAAATTGAATTTTAATGTACAACACCCAACTATACGTACAATTTATTTTTCTTTATGTACAATCCGCTCTGAATATGCTAACTAATTGGCAAATTTCTATGCTACACCCGATTATTAACACCGGGTGATTGTTAATAATTGATTTAATTTTATTGGCATGAGCTGTATCCAGGATATTTGGCAGTGATGTTCTTCTCCATCAGCACCCTTGTCTCCATAGCATTTCTCCACATACCAGCTGCAGAATAAATACCCGATAAAACCACGTAGTTAACCGCATTCCCAGGCTCCAAATCGAATAACCGCCTCGCAACAATTTCTCCCAAATTCACATTCACGTGAACACTGCACGCCCCGAGCATTGCACCCAAAGCCGAGGCATCAATATCCATAGGTATCTTTCCACGTATCAAACCGTACTCTTCTTCCAAACAATCCGCACGCGCAAGAACATCCACCAAACACGAATAATGCTCTGCCCTTAGCAAAATATCGTTTTGCTTAACGACACTCCTAAACCATTCCCATCCTTGTGTACTCAAACCGTTATGGCTACAAGCAAAAAGAATAGACAAAAGAGTCACGCCGTTTGGCTTCAACCCTTTATTTTCCATCTCTACACAGAGTGCAACTGCTTCGTCGCCGCACCCGTTTTTCCCGTAACCCGTAATCAACGAAGTCCACGAAATAATATTTTTCTCCGCCATGTCATCGAAAACCCGTTTAGCGTCTCCGATTACTCCCGATTTGGAGTACATGTCGATCAGCGCATTGCCTATAGCGATATCGTGCTGGTTTTGGTATTTAACCGCGTTAGCATGTAATTGTTTCCCAAGATTCAACGACGATGTTTTGGCACATATGTTTAACATGGAACACAGTAACATGCCATCGATTGCCATATTCTTTTGTGCTTCGTTGAAGAGTTGAAGGGCTTTAGAGTGGTTTGTATCTTCACAAGCATACCCTGAGATCAGTGCAGTGATCGATACTACGTCTTTGTTCTGGGTGTTGTTGTATACCTCGTTTGCACTGTCCAAGCTTCCACATTTTACGTAGGCGTCGATTAATGATCCAGTTAAAAAAATGTGGGATCCAAAACCATATCGCAGAATATATCCATGAATAGTATCGACTTTCACGAGCCCGTTTTTTCCAGCAACGGCTCTCAGAATGCTTCCAAAGCTGAAGCTGTCAGGAAGTATGCCTGCATAACATTCGTATAATCAAAACGAAACAGATACAATTTAAAAAAAAAAACTATTTAGTCAGTAAAAATAAATTTAGTCATCCTATAGAATGCCAACTAAGGCCACAGAGATATATTGAGTTATTGACATTTACCCTCTAGTAACAAGAATTGGTTCCGCTATCAACAAATTAAGAAAGAGAAGCCAATTTCAATATTTCACATATTGTTGTACCTTCTCCGAGCATCGAACGGAAGACTAAAATTGCATCGTCGCTCAGCCCCTGAGCAGCATATCCTCCAATCATTGCATTCCAGCACACCAAGTCCCTTGTCTCCATGGAGTCAAAAACGCAACGAGCATCCTCCATTTTCCCACACTTTGAGTGCAGATCAACCAATGCACTCTGGATGAATAAGTTATCCACAAATCGACCCTTCTGCAAACACCCCTGTATCTGCTTCCCAAGCTCCAAGCACAACAAACGCGTGCACGCACGCAACGCACTCCCATAGGTGAACTGGTTAGCTCTCGCGCCTTCACCGTGCATGGCCGAAAATGCCCTCAAAGCTTCTTCATAGTCCGCATTCTGAGAATAACCAGATATCAAAGCAGTCCAAGTGACAACACTTCTCTCCGACATTTTATCGAATACCTTGCGCGCGGTTTTCATTTCGCCACATTTGGAGTAAAACATGATCAATCTGGTGTTCAAACATGTGTTTGTAGGAAAACCAACCGCAATTAACCGAAAATGAACCAGTTGACCGCATTTTCTCGAGTTTAAGTCGGTGCAAAGCCGGAGAATCTTTGAGTAAACAGAATACTGTTCTGGCTCCAATGTGCGGGATGCAATAAGCCTTACGGCTTCTCCTAGTTTTCTCGAATGGCAAAGAGAATCTACTAAGCAATTCAATGGTGTCAATGGAAGCGCCATGACGATGGTGAGATGAACTGCTCTTGCGTGTAGTTCTTTTCATCGTTGTGCTTCGGTTCTTGGCAACAATTGTTAAATTAACATGCAAAATTCTCTCTAAATGAAAATTAAAATTGGATCCGAACTCATTTGGGCTTGGGCCATTTGATAAATGGGTTTAGTTGACAGTACACCCAGGAGACTCGGGTCTGGAAACGGGTCAAAATCGACTCAAACGGGTTCAAGCTGCTTCTTCTTCGTCAAGAAACCATTTTTGAGAAATTCCTCTGTAATTCGTAAGATCTATCAGCTTTTTAATTGATCACTGTGTGACTCTGTGCAGACATTTCTCTTCGAAGGCAATCAAAGGTGTGCACTTTAAAATCAAAAATCACCGTGTTTCGGCTTCTCTAGGGCTTACGTACTTGTATAAATTTATCACATTTTATATTATTTTATCTTAGTTGAAGATTGGTGTAGAGTTCGTTTGGTCGAGATATCAATGGGTGACAGTCAGTACTCTTTCTCCCTCACCACTTTCAGGTAAATTCATCAGCGTAGAGAGGTTTATTTAACTCTAGTATCTTAACCTAATTCGTATTACCAGAAATTGTGGCGCGTACTTACACTTGCTATTTGAAAACCAGCCCTTCAGGGAAGCTTGTTCAAATCGAACATGCTCTGACAGCCGTTGGATCTGGTCAGACATCTTTAGGAATTAAAGGTAAATTGCTCTGTTTTTTCAATTTCGTGCTTAAAAAATCGGCATTCCGGGTGAATTTGAAGCAGCATTTTGTTTCATATGTCAAATCGCTATACTTTCGAAGTATAATCGGAGCTGTTGTTATACCTAGGGTTGCAAAAATCTCGCTGCTATAATATCATTGCTTAGTAGGTCGAAAATCAAAATAATACCTTTCTTCATTCAGAGTAGCAGTTCGTGAAAACAATTGTGCAGTATAAGTATTATCGTTTTGCTTCACAACTAACTTCTTTTTCCCTCGAGAAATCTAAGAATGCTTTATGTGGGGTGTTGCAGCTGCTAATGGTGTTGTGATTGCTACCGAGAAAAAGCTTCCATCGATTTTGGTCGATGAAACATCTGTAAGTTTTGTGTGGTTCGCACTTGTGTATTTTAGACACGTGCTTTAAACGAAGTGATTGTTTCTCATTAGTTTGGGGGCTAATATGGTTTATAATTGTCATCGGTTTCTCTTTGTTTAAATATCAATTTGTTTATATTGGTGGATGTCCTCTGTTTCTGATAGTTAATCTACTTCTTTCAGATGCAAAAGATTCAGACATTGACCCCAAACATTGGAGTTGTATACAGGTAATATCAACTGACGTGTGCCTATACTTCAGTAATATCTTTTATTCGAGCTCTTACATGATAACATCTTATACGATAGCTTGGCTGATAATTATGTCTTTGTGCAGTGGCATGGGCCCTGATTCTCGAGTTTTGGTTCGAAAAAGTAGAAAACAGGCTGAGCAATACTATCGTCTTTACAAAGTATACATATCCATACCCCTCGTGTTTCTGTTTTCCAGTGCTGACACTATTATAACTTGCTCGACAAAATTATTACTTATTGAAAAAGTTGCCTTTGAATATTTTCAGTTGTAATTTGAGGGACATAATTTTCATGTACTTACGATCTTTAATCACACAACTTATGCCGATCCTCTGTTATATGTCCAAAAAAAAAATTATAGGAACCAATTCCCGTGACTCAATTGGTGAGGGAAACCGCCACTGTGATGCAGGAATTCACTCAGTCAGGGTATGCGTTACTAGTTTATTATTTCTCTCCCGCTGTTTATTTAATGAAGCCGTAAGGTGATAAATTGAATAATTTACGTCATGGATCTTTTTTTCACGTCTTTTTTATTTGCATGTAATATGTTTTTACTATCTCTGCTGCTTTTACTATTTTATTGCCAAACCATCCCGAGGGTCTATCGAGTTACCGCACATATTATTTTATGTTACCTCTTCATTGGTTTAGTATATCTAAAAATCAAACTTCTTGTTGTGAATTCCCAAGGGCTAAGGGATTTTTGTTTGTGAATCTTTCTGAACAAAGATTCTACTACCTTAAATCCTATATATATATATATATATATATATATTTCTTGCATACGAACACTTCAAAAACTCGATTTAAATATGTTTCCCTATTTTACACCACTATGTTCGAAATTTGAATAGATTTTGTAATTTTTTCTTTTGGCTTTTCTTGTAGTGGCGTAAGGCCATTCGGTGTATCACTCTTGGTTGCCGGATTTGATGACAAGGGTCCTCAGCTATATCAGGTATTCTGATCAATTCTTCTTCTGTCTACAATTGCATTTTCTGTGCTCTTTTTAGCAATTAAAGTTTTATCCACTGGTTCTTGTAAAATATGGCCGAGTCATGAATTCTTTGGTGAATTTCCAAAGTCCAAGTGATCCGGCATTATTTGACGAGGGGTTGGATTTTGTTATATTTTTCTTATGTTAATTATATATGTTTCATTTTTGTCCATCTATTTTTTACCCCATTATTTATTTATATTGTAATGGGAAATTTATGTGCCGTATTATTCCCTGAATCTTGCTGATTTGAGTATATTACATGTACTGCTTCATTTAGTGATCATACATTGCATGATTCTCAACAGTCGAGAGTCTAATAAACACCATTGCTTGTTGTCTTTGACCAAATCGAATAATCTCCACATTTTTCAAAATTGTTAAATCTTTATTTGCTCTATAGGTAGATCCTTCAGGTTCATACTTCTCTTGGAAAGCTTCGGCCATGGGGAAGAACGTATCAAATGCCAAGACATTTCTGGAAAAGAGGTGATTTTTCCTTAGCCGAGTGCTAATTTAACTGTTGTGATGTAATTTATTTATTGAATTTGTTGCAGGTACACCGATGATATGGAACTTGACGATGCTGTGCATACAGCGATATTGACTTTGAAAGAAGGGTCAGCACCTGGCATCTTTTTTTCTTTTTCTTTTTTCGTTAAAAAAAAATATTCTATAAATGACCTGTGATTTCGGTCATTCTTATTTCCAGATTCGAAGGACAGATTTCGAGCAAAAACATCGAGATTGGTGTGATTGGCAACGACAAGATATTCAAGTGAGTCTTTATCTTTGAGCAGATATATTTTTATTTTTTTTAATCATAACCTTAAAGCTTTTAACTGTTGAGAGATTTTCGTAGCGAGTTGATAATCGTGTTTTGCTTTTGATTAATGCAGGGTTCTGAGTCCATCTGAAATTGAGGATTACTTACAGGAAGTGGAATAGTTGAGTTCGGAGCCTAACTTCTTTTGTTAATCAACTGGGATTCTTTTTTTTTTTTTTGTTTTTGTACAATTATTACTTGGATCTTGTTCCAACACTAATCCCTGTTTGGGTAAATTTTAACAAATATTTTTATCCTGAGAAGAAAAGAGTGAGAAAATTTTCAACATTGCCTAGCGCTCAAAATTATATTCTCCAATGCTGCGTTTTAATAGAAGAACTGAAGTTTTTAGGTTTCGAAATTTTGATACAAACATGTCGCATCTGTTTAAATAAATTTGAATTGTTATTCATCTCAAACACTCTTAACAATTATAATGCCTTTTGTTTCTAAATAATGCTTCACGAATATTAAGTGAGTTAAAAATAAATAATAATGACCGTTTGTTTTCTTAATAATATGAAAGAATATCCATAGCTAACGAACAACAGGCTTTCATAGCTCAGTTGGTTAGAGCACCCGTTTAGTAAGCGGGAGGTCTTGAGTTCAACTCTTAATGAAAGCATATCTTTACCAACGTCTAATTCATTTTTATAATTATTTTTAATTTTCTTATTTTAATTTTTGGGCTTCCAAGGAAAAAAGCAACCAACTAATAACGGTTTAACCAGACTTTTGAAGCCATTGAATAGCAGCACAGCACAAAGATGAGTGAAACTATAACACAATCTATAATACAATCACCCCTCTCAGTTTACCCCCCAACCACCCACCACTACCAATAGTCACCACACGAACACTCGCCCCCGCTAAACCGATGAAACCGATACATATCCCTCAGCACAATCTCCCTCCCCACCACACGGCTCACAAACTTGTAAACCGAGTGACAATCCCCGCATACCCTCAGATTCTTGAAAATCCTCAGAGTCGAACCTTCCCTCGTACTAATCAACCCATACGCAAGTGCAAGCCTCTCACTATGCCCCCACAAGTTATCTTCCTTCTGTTCTTCATCAGTATCGTGCAAAGCGCACTTGGTATCCGCCACATACCCCGCCTCCTTAATCTCCCTCCTCAACTCCATCAACTTCTCGTGTATCTTCTCCCACTCAACGTGGGACCCATCTCCTGCACCGAACGTGCTTATCTTGTTCCTCACGTTAAGCCAACTGTAAGCGGGCTTCTTCCTCACGTTTTCGGCTTCCATCGTCACTCTCAGCCCCAATACTTCTTGCCACCGTCCGGAAGTTGCACATACGTTCGAGTAAAGTACATAAGCAGAATCGTCCGATGGATTTGCTATAAGAAGATTTTCCGCAGCTTTTTTGCCCAATTCTAACTGGCCATGTGTTTTGCATGCTGATAATAGAGTTCGCCAGACGAAGTCGTTTGGTGGGACCGGCATTTTCTTGATGAATTCTTCGGCTTCTCTAAGTCTTCCCGATCGTCCAAACAGATCAACCATGCAGACACAATGCTCTATTGCAGGTGTGACCCCAAAATCGGCACTCATCAAAGCGAAATAATCGACGCCCTCTTGTACTAGACCGCCATGGCTGCACGAGGATAGGAGCGACACGAAGGTGACGTGGTCTGGTTTTGTGCCATGTGCCACCATTTCATGGAAGGTTTCTCGGGCCTTCTGGAAGCTCCCGTGCCTAGCAAACGCAGATATTAAAATATTCCAAGATAATCTGGATCGGGTTTTCGGATCCGGAAGCAGTTTCAAGAGATGATCGAGTTCCCCGCACTTCCCATACATATCCATCGTAGCGTTTGTGACAAAATGGTAGCTATCAAAACCGAGTTTGATGGCTAAACCGTGTAGATGCTGTCCATCCTCCAATATAGCTAAGTTTGCCGAAGCGGAAAGTGCTTCGGAGAGACTGAACTGATCGAAACCCACTTCAGCCCGTTGCATTTCAACCAGAAGTTTCAAAGCCTCCTCCCATTGACCATGGTGAGACCTTGCAGCAACCATTGCATTCCAAGTCGCGGCTGTTTTGTTGACCAACGCGCAAAATATAGAGGTGCTTGAATCAAGGTCACCGCAGTTTGCGTACATCGAGATAAGAGAGTTTCTCACGTATTCATCCGATTCGCATCCTGTGATTAGTATATGACCGTGTAAGGGCATTCCGTGATTTAGAAGATTGTGTGGATTGTTACACGATCCAAGAATGTGTATGAGAGTTATGTGATTTGGTGAAATACCCTTTTCCCGCATCGACTTGAAAGTTTTGATTACCTCATCAACTTCTTCGTTATCTGCATAACCACCAATGAGGGCGTTCCATGTAACCAACTCCTTTTCAGACATGTGCTTGAATACCTTATCGGATTCTTGTGTCATGCCACACTTCCCATACATGGTAACTAGTGCATTCCCGACCACCATATTCTCGTGGAGACCAGATGTAATTGCAAGTGCGTGCACGGTTATACCTTCAGACAGAGATTCAGCGTTCGCACAGGCTGACAGTGCGCTGGCAAAAGTAACGAAATTCGTTAAGTTCCGCATTCGGAGGAGTTCTTGCAACACTCTCAAGGCATCTGAGCACTTGCCCCCCGAAACATACCCTGCCATCATGGAATTCCAAGAGATCAAATCCTTCAGTGGCATACGGTCGAACAGCTTTTCTGCCTCTTCGTATTTTGCCGTCTCGAAATACATAGTGAGGAGAGTGTTGGATATGCAGATGTCCAACTCCAATCCCAGCCTCAACAGTAAACCGTGAATTCCTCTACCCCACTTCAAATTTTCGGCCGAATGGCAGGCTGACAGCATTATGGAAAGTGTGTTCTCATCTACTTCTCCGTGATTAAGACGCATTAAATGAAAATATCGAAGCGACTCTTCGGAAAGATAATTATGAGCAAAGGCCGAGAGTATGGAGTTCCACGATATAGTGTCGTGCTCGTCCATGTTATTGAATATATAACTGGCAACTTCCACCTTGCTGTAACTGCCGAAGATCGATATAAGAGAATTCGCAACAGAGATGTCTTTTTGAAGTCCTGATTTAACAACATGAACCAGCACTTCATTAACCAAATATTCATCATCTAGAGCCCCACAAGAACTAATAACCGTAGTAAAGGTATTCTGATTACAACTCACCCCTTCGAGCCGCATTTTCTGGTATAAATTAATAACCTCGTGGAATAATCCACTATCCGCATAGTTAACCATCAAGGAGGTCCAAGAAACGACATTTCTTTCAGGCAACTCTTCGAAGAGCATCCGGGCATCAAAAATAAGTCCATACCCGCCATAGAAATGCAAAAGAGAAGTGCCCACGAAAACATTGCTTACCAAACCATTCTTCAAAACTAAGCTATGAATTTGAAGTCCTTCAAGAAACATGCTACCCGACCTACTAAATGCCGTTAATAAGCTCGGAACGTTGTACCCATTTAGTTCGAATCCTCGATCCCACATCTCAAGAAACAGACCGCAAGCATCTACGTGGAATCCCAATTTCACATATGCAGAAATCATGTTATTCCAAGAAGCTTCATTTCTCTCGGGCATTCTATCAAACACCTGTCTGGCACACTCAATGTTCCCAAATCTCGAGTACATGTTCATCAATGTGTTTGTATGGAATATGCTCAAGTGAGTCCATCCCTTTACGTACACAGCATGCAGCGCTTTTCCCACAAATTGTTTGGTGATCTGCGAAAATCCTTTCTGAAAAAACCCAGATATTTCTGGGTGGGGATTGTTCATAATGCATTGAACAATACGGTTCTTGGGTTCTTTCGCGCATTGGGAGAAAGATGAACTTGACAAAGCAGTGGTCGAGAATTTGAATGCTGACTCAAACTTGAAAGCTGAGAGCTTTTTCTTGCTCTGCCTAGCCAGCATAAAATTTTATTTTTAGAGATTAAGAACTCAATGATGCATTAAGATAGATAAATTATCGGACGTAAGACTCTTATCATTTATATATCTATTATTATATATCAATGAAAATACAGTTACTTTTAATTAATTTATAATTTATTTCATTATCCTAAATAGTTGTAAAAAATATTAAAAAAATGCACTGAGCCCACCTAGCCCAACTATATGTATAAACGAATCGAGTTGAGTCGAACGTACTGGTTATTCAAGATTGTTCTAATTAGGAGTTGGACTGATTTTAGAAGTTCAGTTTGAAAATGATTTGCTAAGAAATCGAGTCGAGGTCGTCCGAGCTTTAATCAAGCCGTATATGAATAGATATCGGGTAGCTTGAATTTTTTTCGTACATATTTTATAACGAGCTCGACCAAAATTTCACAACTTATTAAATGAAAATTTATGTTCAAATTTGATTCATTATGTTAATAAGTTGTGCTTCTGAGAATCGATCTCGAATCAAGTAGTTTGGTACGATCTCTAAAACATGCACGGGTTGGCCCGTTTGGTCAAGCCTCGTAACATCCTTATATTTCCAGACTAACCAGAAAAATCTTTCAACAATATTGCAAGATAGAAATCAATCATGACAACTTGCATTACATAATGTACAAAGATGATACAAAATGTTTGGACGGAACTCTTTTTTCCTTCTCGTTTTACAGCACATTAGTCGATACCTCTGTATTGTCTGAAACCCGCAATTGCATAGTAAAGACCCTAACATACTAACCTAACTTCGAAGAAGGCAGCTAAAATCATGCGTTACGCTACTTTTTGATGTTCCACTTGTGTGATGTCCGTGGTGCAGTTGTAATGCCCTCGTAGTATTGGGGTTCAAGTTCTTGGTTATTCCATTCCGCCACAAATTCCGAAAACAAACCCCGTGCAGAATCGGAAGATAGATCGGAGAAAAACGTTTTCCTCTCTTCTTTAAGCCACTTGGCAAATTCGTTGTTCTTGGAGAAGTAATCATCATCGGACAATTCTTTGAAGTTTAGTTTCTGTGATGGAAGAAAAAACGGATATTATTAGAACTTACGCATACTTAAAAGTTAATACGAATCAATACCAAAAGAACCTCAAGATAGTACGAGATTCGTGACAGTCACTGACGAAAACATTTCGTAAATTATCATTGAGGAAAAATAATATCCAAACGACTATGTTTAGAGAGGTTGCTTTACATTCTATCAACATAAATCATGAATAATGAACTACTTAACAATAATCAGGGCAAGCATAAAAAATTGTGATGCAATGCAGTGCACAAGAAGATATATCGAACCATCGAATATAACAAGTAGAATGTCAGAAAGACACATTTAGCACATGCTAAATTAACGAGAAAACACGGGCAAATGATATAGATCGAGTCTAAATCAATTCATCACTCGGATGACATGTACACGCACTCTTTGTAACATATAGAGTTCAGCAAGAAACTCACAATTGAAGAAATATCATGCTTGCGGCTTTTGTCTTTACGTTTCCCACCCGACTTCTTATCTGAAGCAAGCAATTCGAATGGGTTAAAATTTCAAGGCCACCACCATAACAAGCAATGAAAATGAAAAATAACTTAATTTGTTTGGTAAACAGAATATCATATCCCAATTAAAAATTACACTTCTTAGAACAGTTACTAATTTCATTAAAAATTCAAAAATTGCAAAAACAAACAAAAAAAAAAAAAAAAAGCAAAATTAACATTAATAAACAAAAAAAGTCGGAACCTTTTCAACAATCTGAAGAACTGTATTCGATTTAAAATCATTAGAAAAGGGAATAAAATACCTTTATCCGAATGGCGCTTGGAAATTTTGTGAGATTTGTGCTTCTTGGAGTTATGTTTATCGTCATCTTCCTTGCTTTTACGCTTTTTAATCCTCCTCTGTTCTTCTAGTGTACTCAATCGAACAAACACAAAATCATCTATATATATATATATAAGTAAAATCATGTATGTATACATACAGCAAGTAAATAGCACGGTGAAGGAAGGAAGGAAACCTTGTGGGGAAGAAGGAGAAGATCTCTTCAGCTTGTAATCGTCTCTGGATTTGCCCATCGCTCAACCTGATCGATGATTTCCCTCCCAATCCTAACCTAATTTTGCTTGATTTAATCTTTTTTTTTTTTTTTTTACTCTCAGAAAAATAAAAATGAAAAATAATATGCTATTGATTTGACAAGGATAGTTTGGGCCCAGTATTTAGGCCCAAATAGGAGCGGGCCCTATTTATGAAAATCTTAAATCTACCCTCATTCGTAACTTCATTGACTCACCTACACATGCACAGTCAACCAGTCCACATAACACTCTCAAATCTCAATCACTAAATCAATCAATTGTTTCACTCTGAAATATTCAATGTACTCATAAAAAATGGAGATTGAAAACATAAGATGGTTTGAATTTGAGAAAATTGTGTTCCCTTGTCTCTCTCTTACTGCAGTATAAATAGCCACAAAGGCAATAGTAAGTAGCATTAAATGTGTCCGTTGTACGTGAGAACTGTAAAGATGTTGCCGGACAAAGACAAGGAATGACGTAAGTAATGCAGAGAGAGAGAGAGAGAAGTCGCAGAAGAAATGAGAGAGATTAAGACTGAAAAAACTATTTAAATGACTGGTTGGACAGTCAAGATCAATCGAAGTAAGAATGAGTGGTCGAGTTCACTCAAGATGAACTTTTAATTTTAGTCTAAGTTGAATCCAATATTGAGCTGCACTGAACCGAAAAATGGGCTTGGGCTCGGTCATCAAAAAATCATACATGGGCCCAAAATCCTTACAATTTATCTCGTGTCGTATACTCGTATTATACATCATTAGATGATGTACATGTTAATGTGTGAATATATGTAGAAAACAATAAGGAAAAAGAAAAGAGTAATCTGCAATTATTGGAATAGAAGACTCAAATATGTGTGTTAATAATTAATATGCAATATAACACGACAATAAAGAAATTTGCCTAATGTCAAAATTAAATTAAACTCCAAGATTTGAAGAACAAGGCCATCTATTGAAGAATAACCCAATAATATTGTTGGGCTCCTCCAATAACTCATCCCCGATTACTGCTGCAAGTTCGCCATCATCAAATTTATCTTCATAATTAGCTAAGTACTCTATTCTCTGCATACATTATATTTATATCCAGCGGATCCAACGAATTAAGCAATTCCCATAAATCAACATCAATATCTGCTGGGATATTTTCGACTAATTCCCGCCGGTTATCATCTTGTGTAGATGATGTTATTACCTCGGTCGACCCGGGGTTTTCAACCCGACCCATTTCTTGATCTTCTCCAGTAGTAGAGTGACTACTAATTGATGAACATGGTGAAGAAGATTGAGCTTGTTCGGCTTCAGTAATAATATTATCATTGGCAGTAATCAGTAATCTTTTCTTCAAGTGTGTGTTCCACACGTTCTTTATCTCATTATCTGTTCTCCCCGGCAAACAAGACGCAATCTTTGACCACCTGCATGCATGCACGTACGTACGTACGTGATCATAATGATTAATGCACGTAATTATTATAGCATGTAATTAATTGGTAATTAAAATGGAAAATTATAAATGAATTAATAAAAATGGGAGTTAATGATCGTTACTGATGGGGGTGTACTTGTTTCCAATAGAAGAGTGCATGTTGATAATGGTTTGTCTTCTTCGCGGGAGAAGTGTCCTCTTTTCACGTTTGGGCTTTGGTGATTGAGCTACCTCAGCCTGCAACTCTTTCCACATCTTAATAGTCCTGCACAGAGAGAGAGAGAGAGAGAGAGAGAGAGAGAGAGAGAGAGAGAGAGAGAGAGAGAGAGAGAGAGAGAGAGAGAGAGAGAGAGAGAGAGTAATTTGAGATGAATCTTGAGATATAAGGAAAACAGTATAATGAATATATACTTCATAATATATATAGCAAGTACAGTGGAAATGATTTGTTGAAATAAAGTTGCATTATATTGGATGATCATTCAATTATATATCATGATAATCAAAATTGAAAAGTAAACCCAGAATTGATGATGTAGATAAATCATCGATCATAAGACCAGATTTGGAGCAGAACCCGAAACCCCGAAAACCCGTAAAATTCAACACACAGCAATACAATCATACATATTCATTTTACTCACCAACACTAAATCGTACAATTTAGTATTATAAGTCTATAATAGTGCAGAAAACAACAATGTCTATAATTCAAAAAAAAAAAAAACATATTGCCATAAATTAAAAGAAAAACTACAAATTAAATAACAGATCATTTGTGCTTTTAAAATTAAAAAGAAAAAATTAAAAAAAAATTGAGAAACTGTACCGGCGTGTTTAGGGAGAGCGCGCCAATTAGTGTGCCCATTCTTTTGAATGAAAGTAGTGAGCCTCAAATCCTCTGCGGTGCTCCACGGTCCAGTTCTCACCTTGCTCCTATCACAGCACGGTGCTCGCCCTTTCCCCATTTTTTTATTTTTATTTTGCTAAATAAATAATTATGTTTTTTTCTAAATAAAATATATAACTATTTTTTCTTTTCATCACTCCAGCGTCTGTCACTATATATATATATAAAGGAATAGTAAGAGATACTTCACATGATTTCCTACGGATTTCTTCTTTACTGCTAATTATGAAAATTGGATTCTAAATTGGAATAAAATTAGCAGTTTTCGATTTCCAAATCCACCAATGGTTTGTTTAAGATTCGGATTTTATAGCAACAGGATTATGAGAAAACAATCGAGTTGTATTTTGTTAATTAGATCAATTAAGACATTTTTCCATGCATTATTGTGTATGTTAATGTCACAATTTATTTTGTTTTTAATTTTATTGGAGATTTCATAATCTTTGACAAGCACATCTTTCGCATCTCACTAGTTATTTCAGAATCTCCATATTATAATTGAACTTGTTGCACTTATATTTTTTTTTTTTTTTTTTTTTGAACTTACATTAATATGTTGTATTATTTGCCAAATTCAATCAAAGATCTCACCTAGCAATAATTCAGATCAAATAGTGAGCAACTTATAACAAACATAACCATGCGCGGAAAACTCTAATAATTCTGGACAATTGAATTAAAACGAGGAACACAAAAATTACGTGGTTCGATCAGCCTTGAATGGCTTACATCGACCGGCGATAGCAACACTTTATTGACTTTTAAACAACACAGAGTTATAGAAAATCTCTTATTACTCGTATTTCTTCCCACGTATTCAATCTTATCTTTCTATCAGCACCACCTTGATTAGTTGATCAAAATACTTTCATTGTCAATATAGAGTTCATTGCATCTAATTAGTACTCCTGTCTTATATCGAAATGTCAAAAAACTACCCGTGTTATTTTTATTTTTTCAATAATTCAACGGTACGGTGTCGAATATTTGACCATGTCAAATTTTGGCCCAACTAATAATGGGTAGGTAAATCCAGTTGAATTAGATAGAGTAAAGCCCAAATTGGAATTTAACCATCCAAAGATAAGATTTACTACAAAGTATCATCTGCTTATAACTTATAAGGCGTGTCTGAATTGGTACAGAACATTATTTACACTTTGTATTAAATATGTCGCATGTTTCGACAAAATATATATTTGGATACATTGAAAATTTCTGATCTTAATAAATGAATACAAGTCTGAGTTGCTCAAATTATTTTAAAAAATAAAAAAATAAATACATAATTATGTGATTTTGGATTCTTTTGAAATGGGTTTTATTTATTTATTTATATATGTAAAATAATTCCAAATTCAGCATTAAATGTGGACTATAAACTTGTCATAACAAAAGTGTCACTTTCTCTTTAATTGTTTTCTGCATTTCTGTACCTAATGTTATTGTCTGTGTTTCTGACCAATTTAATTATTCTGTCCTAATATTTAGATGTAAAATCATATCAGATTTATATTATTTAAAAGTACGTATAAATCACAATGATTTTCTTACTAGATTTTCCATTGATTAAATTAAATATTTTACACGTACTGGATCTTTTCAAAATTTCATATTTTTTAAGCTAATATTAGCACAAAAAAATCAATTGGAAAAAAAATCGAGTTTATTGAATTGTTTCATAAGTTAAATGGGTCCACTTGGTGTCAGATATTGGGCCTTGATGGGCTATAATATAAGGCTCTTGTGAATTAGGTTATTTATTAAATGATAAATTTATTGTAACTAGTGGGCCAAGGCCTATTGATATTTCAAACTCATATGTATACATAATAGTTATTAAATATTAAAAATAAAAGTCTAAATATATATATAATGGATTAATTGAGAAATTAAATAGTACAAAAAATAGACTATAAGTCACGTTGGTTAATATAATCTCATGGAAAAAAAAGGTCAAATCAATACATTTATAACTCATTATTATACCAAAAGTCAACTGAATGAGTAGACTAATTGTACATTAATTACGATTAGACGCTTTAATCCTACAATCCATTCGCCCTTTGAAAATCAGATAGTCAACGGGAATTCTAATTGAGCAATACCATCTTGTAATTGTGTGTGTGTGTGTGTTTAAAGGGAAAAGAATTCCGAGTGATGACAAATTTACATATATAAGACGTAAAATAATCATAAAATCGACTCGATTGATATAATTGATGACGCATAATCTCCACCTTCAAAACCTTACTTCGAAGTTCGAACTCAACTCCCTCAATTGCCGGATTTAGGGATGACGTCGAAGAACATATGCCTAGAAAATTAATGTTAAAAAGAGAGAGAACTTGAGATAGAGTGTAAAAAATGTACTCTTGACATTAATCATAAACCTAATAGGGGTTTTCATCTTTGTTTGTATAGAAAATAATACATGATTATTTCTTAATTTAAAATCGCTTCATAATCCCGATATTAACTTTGATTGATCAATCACTGATCATATTTTACATATTTTCTTTATTTATTTACGAGAAATATGCTAGAATCTTTATCTTCAACGGTTATCTCTGCGCTGATCACATATTGTACCTTATTCACCTCTCTATGCGATCCATTATGTGTTAACGAGACATGCGCGAACTGCATGGCTATTTCTTCACCCCTAAGTCTTTCTTAACATCAGTCTCGTACACCCTTGTATTCACCTTCATTGGGTCTTGGTTTAATAAACTTTGATCCATGTCACTCATTGAGCTTCGGCCCAATAATCCCGAATATAGGGAGTTTGGCCCGAAGATACTGAACTGATACCCATCAATAATTATATGTATTTTTTTTCCAATTTAGTATTTTTTTGTGAACGTTAGTTAGTGATGAAATAAGTCAGAAAAAAGGCATATAATTATTAATAATCCAATGATTATGCACATTGTAACTTCGTGTGCATAAAATGCCACATTCAAAGTTTTTATTTCAAGTCTTTGAGGCTGCTCAGTTCCATCATCAATTCGTTCACATTATTACATAAAATGTTTGAATATTTCAATTTGTTGATTTTTTTTTTAATTTAATTATTTTAGAAGTCACTTTCATTATTTAATGCCAATTTGAAAACCATTAAAGCCAGACTCTTCAATATTTGGAAATATCATTTTCACCTATTTAGAATATCTTATTATAATTAAGGAGCTTGTAATAATTCAATTATCATTAATCACCAACAAAAAAATACTCCCTCTGTTCCATAATAACTGTCTCTTTTTAAAAATATTTTTGTTCCATATTATCTGTCACTTTAGATTTCCAATACTGCATTAAATGCATTTTTCCTGTTTTAACCTTATTAAGGAAACTCTATTCATTAATTTTCTTTTGTAAAGCATTAAATAATAAAGGTTATTTTAGTCATTTTTATATGATTTTTCTAAAATCAAGATATATTTATTGAGTTTGTTAATCTTTGTGAAAAGTGAAAAGTGACAATTATTTAGGAACGGAGGGAGTATCTAATATCTAATCGAACTCGAACACGAAATTTTAAAATTTCGAGACGTTAACACTACTACCGTTACACCGAAATTCATACAAAATGAAAAATAAGAAGAATTACATTAAAAATAAAATAAAAATTGAGCCTTTGTTTGGGGCAATTAATGGTGTTTTAGGGCCCACTTTAATTTACTAATTTGTCAAGACAATATTAATATCATTGACTAATAATAAAAGAATTTTAATATGTACATGCACTCTCCACATGATTTATATATCCAAAACTAACAATCAAACCCATAATTGAATGCTAACCCATGTTGTCTTGATTGCACCTTCAAGGAACATTAACTACTTATCAAGTCAAACTATATATTATATATATTTAATTATTACTATATACTATCACCAAAATCAACCAAATTATACATAAAGTTCTTTAGGCTCTGTTTGTTTCAAAATTGCAATAGTGGAGTATCAAAATTTCAACTTTCAAGAATGAAGTGAATGATTTCTTCCTCTTATTTTTTTTTTTTTCCTTTCAATTTTATCATTTATCAGTCTTAATTCGTTGCATACAATCATAAGAAATGTTTTAATTATTAGATTTCTTAACACGTGCGCATAAATCCAAAATTAGCAAATAATTTGGTAAGAAAGAAATACGATTTTTTGTCAATTTTTGAAATATTGGGGATGAGCCAAACAGGGCGTAAAGGGCCTCAACTAAAGTCCGATACTCATTAATGTAGAAAACAAAGGTTGATTAATGCATGTACTATAAAATAAGAAGCCAAAATGGATACACAATTGAATAAATAAATAAATAAAAATAAAAGCAGTCAATTAGCAGCATTAATGAGGTAATTAAAGGAGAAGCCAAAAGGTCTTTGTATTGTTCGTGGCATTAATTCACAGCTGTCCTTTAGTGTTGCATTTAATGCCACTCCCCAAACACCCCCCAATTCAATTTTCTTTCACATAATTAAATCACCCCAAATTAAATTATTAAATACAAAACAATAATTCAAATATATTACATTACATTTAAGCAAATCAATTTTCCTATGCAATAATATAAAAACCTCTTGTTTTCTCATTCATTTAAACCCCGAGTTCTCTGTTTTCACTCGCTTCATTTCTCGCTCTTTCTCTCTCTACAATCTCTCTCTCTCTAAGAAAAGAAGAAGGGATATATATTATACGTGGTGGGATGGCAGCTGACGTCAGTTGTTTGGTAAGATTGATGAACGGCGGCGATGCAAAAGAGTCGTCGTCGCCGGGCAAATCAACGGCGCCGATGACTAGGGATTTGCTTGCTGGGTATTGTACCCTAGATTCGAAGGAGTTGGACCTCGATTTGCAAGTGCCTTCTGGCTGGGAAAAACGCCTCGACCTAAAGGTACAATCTTTTTTCCCTCCATTTTTTTTTCTTTTGCTCTGTAATTTAATTTTCTGAACATGGTTTCCTAATCCCATTTCAGCTGCCTAATTTAGTGTGTGTGTGTGTGTTTTCTGAAAAAAATAGTTTACTGTTGTATTCACTGGTTTATTGAGGTTTTTCTGCCATGCTTGGAACATGTTCGATGAATTGCCTATGCATACACGATGCATACATATATCCAAACTTGTATCTATATTTGTTTGTCCAACTACTCATCTTGTTTGTGTGTAAATAAAATAGTTTACTGTTGTATTCATGACTGGTTTATTGAGGTTTTTCTGCCATGATCGGAACGTGTTTGATTAATTGCTTATGCGTGATGCATATATATAGACATATTCAAAATTAAATCTTTTTTTCTGTTTATCTAATCACTCTTGGTTGAGAAAAAGTCAACCGTGCAGTCAATATAAAACCTTTTTCTGAGTTCCTGCAGCTCACATCTGATTATATATTCTCTCTCTGATTCACACAGTCAGGAAAAGTATATCTGCAGAGATGCAACTCTTCATCAAACTCTGCCGAAAAGAACAACAACAAAGCCGCCACGGCAGCCAAATTTCAAGACCTAAACTTCCCACCGGAGCCCAAGCAAACCCTAAACCTCTTCGACGAAGCTTCCTCCCGAGACTTAAAGCTCGTTTCCTTATTACCAACGTCTAACTCTCCTTCCTACCAAAGCGTTTGCACTCTCGATAAAGTCAAATCCGCCCTCGAGAGAGCCGAGAAAGAAACCGTCGTCCGAAAACGCTCCATATCAATCTCGTCCAATAAGTCGTCACCCCTTCGGTCAAACAACTCCACTTCCTCGTCGGTCAGAGATACCGATTTTGAACGCGGGTCCCACGAGGAGGAGAAGTCGTCTTCGGTGGGCCCGTTTGCGGCCGGTTGCCCTAGCTGCCTTTTGTACGTGCTGATATCGAAGAGCAACCCTAAGTGCCCTCGTTGCAGTTGCGTTGTCCCGTTTCCTGTGGCTGCTAAAAAACCTCGGATCGACTTGAATATATCCATTTGAAAAAATCGGAAATGAGATATTAATTAATGGGTTTTTTTCGTTTTTGTAAAGATTTAGAGGATAGGTGCTATATGAGGTGATTAATTGAAGAAAATTGGTATATAAACGTGTTAAAGGTTTTGTTTTTGTGTTTGTTTGTTGTAGTATTAACAGTTAAGCATGCTTTGGTTTTATGTTTAGTGTTAATTTATAGAAATTATATAACCTATGAATTGCTGGTGCAATAAAAAAATTCGAAAAAACTTGGCTCGTATACAATGAGTTGGTACCGTATATACGGGGTATATTTGTACTGTATACCGTATATACGGGTGAACTTAATTAACTGAATTACCTAAAAGCTTGTTTATTGATGAGCAGAAATTCTTGAAATCTTGAATTTTCAATAAAGAAATTGGATTTATTGAAAGTTGAAAACCTTGAATTTCAATAAATGAGAAGAGGCGAATTAAGGCATGGCCAACTAGATTGCATTTAAATTTAGATGCACCTAACAAATAATAAATGAGAATTAAATAATTTTGAATATACTACACACAACTACTTTCTTTACTCAAATTAGTGTTTGATGTCAGCAGGTATTTATAAATTGGAGTTAATGCTTTTATTTGGTTGAATGTGCTTTCTTGTTGGTTTTGAAGCCATTTAATATTCTCTGCCTGGAATTCAGGCTATTTATTTAATAAATTAATTTACATATTTCGTGTAATTTACGAGTTATTATATATATGTATTTCGAGTGACTGTAAATTTTTTGGTCGTTACAAAAATTCACTAACTTGCGTACACGTAAATATGGATAGTTATGTCTATATATGCATGCCACCATATGTGATTAATAATTGAATATCACATACAATACATGCACACGAAAATCATTATATTTATAATTAAGGACAGTTGCGAAATATTAAAAGCATTCACAGTTGAATGAAAAAAATTGAAAAGTCAGAGCATTGTACAATTCAGACAACTAATGCTAGTTGCCAAATTCAATTGCAGGGGTTCGTATTTTCCTTTAATTTATTATACCTACGAGTTTGAGTTATATTATATATATATATATATAGACCAGTACCTTAGTTTTATGAACTCATGAAATCATCATGTGATCAAATGACTGAGTAACGTTACATAATTTGCTAACTTATCTGATAAAAAAAAAAATTTGTTTAAAAAAAAAAATAATTTTGCTCTTTATAATTAATGAGGGTTTATGTGGACATAAAAGACATTTAAAGGGCAATTTTTATTTGAGTTTCTAATCTGTGTGTATCTATCCTATATCTTAAACTACACTTAAAAATTAACAAATGAAGTACTACTGTATTGGTTTATATATTAAATTTACACTCTCGTATAATTGCCTGTAAGCCATACGAGAGACGTACGTAAACCACATTAGGAGTATACTTTTCTGATTTCTCATGTTGAAATTCATGTAACTTGATTTTTTAAAGATTAAGTTGTATTATTTCAACGCGGGTTAAATTAAAAGAAGAATGAGAGAGAGAGTCTATATCAGAAATAAAATTCAATTCGTGGCAATAAAAGCCTTCGTCTGCTACAAGTTTCTCATAAAATCCAAATATTCAGACATATATAACCACACTTCTTATTCAATTAAATAATTTAATTTAAGCATTTCTGTATTCTTAATTATTTCTCAAGAAATACATAATTATGTTTGCATGCACGGCCCATAATAGCCCTCCCTGACGTAATTATTTAATTCCAAATAAATCAAATTAAATTAATAATAATAAAATAAAATTCTTTTTTTTTTTAGTAAATTCAAGTCCATTACAAGGGGAAGTAGGGGAGGGGGACTCTAACCCTAGACCGTTACCCTATTGGTAAATGTTAGGTACCAACTCTCCTAATGAGGGTTGTAAAATTATGGAGCAGTTATAAATGTAACTGTGTCTGTGTGTCTGGAGGAGTAAAAAGTAATTTTACCCCAAGGGCTCAGCAGAATAAATGATTGACAACAGTCATCACGTAAACTTCTTAAATGGCTTAATAAATTCGCCTCTGTCTTACTTTCATATATCCAACTTATTAATTATCACATTTACTCCTTTCATTCATTATCTATACCTAACTTACATTTAATTTTTTTTCTACTCTATTATATTAATAATTGCACACCTACCCTTTCAGATGTAACCAATAATAATAATAATTTTGAATAGTAATTCTTTGAAATTTATTGTGAAAAAAATAACACAAAATTGATCGAATATTTTTTCTGGACTGGAATTAATTATAAATTTATTTTAATTAAATATTTTAATCAGTCAAGTGAATAATGATGACGTGGAATTAAATACTTGGTGGGGTAAGGGTTGAGAAATGGCCATGCAGACTAAAATATCTTACTACAATCCTATTTGAAGGTGAGCCCCTCTTTGCAAGAATTAATTGACGGTGAGCCCCTCTATTTAAGGCATTAATGATTTAATTCACCCATCAAGCAACCACAAATGAGGTATCCAATTAATTGCCTATTTATGAATAGGTCCCTCTCAATTTAGTAATCTGCAAACTCTGCTTAATCTGAGGTTTTCCATCATCACGCTGGGCCCTGTTATATCTGCTCCCATGCAATTTTCACCTTCTATTGTATTATTCATATATTGAGGGGGTAAACAAAATTAAACGGTAAATTACAATCTACCCCCTGAGGTCATGTCTATTTACGAAAAGACCTTTTATTTATCCGTGATTATATATACTCCCTACATTTTGTGAATTTTTTACATTAACACCCTTTTGTATGGTGGTAGATGCATGTAAAATCAACAAACTTCGGGGGGCTAGATGTAATTTATAATATATATATATATATTTTTTTTAATTTTGATATAGAAAAAAGACATTCAAGAAAAACTTCTGCATCATATTTTTATATCTATTTTTAAATTAAATTAATTAATAAAATAAAAATTTCACATACAAAATAAATAACATATAAATTGGGCCTAGGCCCAGTTTATGAATATAGGCTTAATGAATCAATATTTATTTTGGCAGGCCGAAAATACTGGCTTAAGCGACGTCGTTTTCCCCATCTGCAATCTTTTCCGAGGGTTTAGGGTTTATTCATTTGTTCTACGCGTTCCTTCGATTTTCTCTTAATACAGAAATTCCGTCTTCTTAGTCTGAATTATTAGCTAAGCGTCTAGGGTTTTTGATTCGCCATCCTTCAATTTCCAGAAGTTCTGTTTTCCGGTGACTGGATTATTAGCTAACCACTAATGGGGAAGAAAAAGCAGAAAGTAGTGCTGCCGCCGGAGCTTCCGCCGGACGTTCCCGATGAAGACATTGAAGTTACAGCTGAGGACGTGCATTTCATCAACGAGAATTTGGATTACGCTAGCTACCTCTCCAATTTGGACACTAAGTCCATCACCAAGTAAGAATTTAGTGTTGTTTCGTCAATTCTTACCCTTGATTAGACGATTTTCCTTTGTTTAATTTCTATTGATTTCTCGATTTTTTGAAAAAAAAAATAAAATTAGGCATGTTTCTCGAGTGGCTGATGTGAACGAGGGGGCTTTAGAATTATTATATGAGAAAAGGATGAGAAAAAAATTGGACGGCAAAGATAAAGAGCAGCCTGGAATGGAGGTTGATCCTGTCGATGCACTTCCAGTGAAAACCCCGCTCGGGAAGCTTTACTATAGAAGAGGCATTTTATTTTGTTTAATTTTTCAATTCAACTTTTGAATGTGTATGTGTATTGTTCTTTTAGCCTACTTGAATGACAATCGGAAGTTGGTTTTCTTCAGTGACAAAGGAGCCGAAAGAGGGTGAAGAGGAATCAAAAGAAGGTGATTCTATTACTAAGGGTCCTAGTTTTGTGAAATTGACGAAAACAGAGAAGCGATTAAATACTAAGAAATCGAGGAAAGAGGCAAAGAAACAAGCAAAGGAGGAAGAAGTGCTGCAAATACCTCAGGCCGAAGTTTTGGTTTGTGTTTCTTTTTCCAGCTGCTACTTCTGGCTTTACTGACACGTTTAATGTATTCTTAGTATCTTTTATGTTACAATATGCACCAAACAATAATATAAATGCATAGTAACACTCTGTTTGCATTCTGATTGTCAAATTCCTGTATGTTGATACTTCTTGATCCTCTCATGGTCTAATGATGAGATAAATATAATCATAAATGCCACTTGCAATCCTTTCTGACACGCATTTCCTTACATCACATTTGGGTGGAAGAATTTGGAGCTAAGGATTTTAATTTTATAGTAACAAATTCTTGGAGTTTGTTGGAATGGTTATGAGAATTTCTGTCTTGACATTATAAAGTCCTGATAATGTTTGGAAGGCTTCTGTTTGGTTCATGTTTACCGTAGCAGAATTTAAATTCTTTATGCTGCATTTTATTATTCTTGAGTGCCATCATTAGATGGGATACTTCTCCATCCCGCCTTTCTCTGATTTGTTTTCATTTGTCCAACACATTATGCTTTGGTTATTTACTTCTATGACCAAGTGAGGGTATGGCTAGTGGATATTTTCTCCTGAGGCAAAACTCCATTTCATATTAATAATCGGTAGTAGTTATTAACAGAATTCATCATAATTTGTCCAGTAAGTAAAGTCTTATGGTGTCCATTATGTACTTCTGTCCCTATATTTAGGATGAAGTGAAAAAAGATCTCACTGCTGAAGAAGCCCGTGAGAGCAAGAAATATAAACTTGCAGTGTTAGGAACGTCACTACTAGCTGATCCTGAATCCAATATCAAGAACATAAAGGAGATGCTGGAGATTTCAAAAGATGAAGATAGTGCGATTGTGATGCTTGGACTCAAATCACTAGTGGCTGTTTTTAAAGACATAATTCCTGGGTGAGGAATTCACGTTATGAAAATATATACTATTTTTCTGTTTGCTTAATTTAGTTCCTAATCTATCTTTCTAATTGCCACTACAGCTACCGGATCAGGCTGCCCACGGAAAAAGAACAAGAGATGAAGGTTTCAAAGGATGTTAAGAAAATGCGATTTTTTGAGTCCACTCTGCTGTCTGCATACAAGGTTTGATTTGAATCCTTTATTATTATTTTTGCCCGTGATTGCACACTCAAGACACCAAATGTAAAAAAAAAAAAAAATCACTAGCCTCATAACAAAAATAAAAGGATAATCATGCTGACAGGAAATCTTTGTACCCCTGGCCAGGCATATGTTCAGAAATTGGTAGCTTTGCAACAGCAGACTGTTTATAAGCGAGTAGCTGTCCGTTGCTTGTGTACATTGCTTGAAGCCTTGCCACACTTTAATTTTCGTGAGAGCTTGTTGGCCGCAGTTGTGAAAAATATAAGCTCCCAGGATGATGTTGTAAGGTAATTATTCGTTTCTCCTTTAAATATTTTCTTTAGTTCTAGTGAATAAATTAAAGTATTATATAATTATACAACACCCACAGGGGTCTAAAGTATTGAAAACATGTCAAAAGTTTTGGTATGGTGCTACTATTGCTCAGTTTCTGCTTGTGCCTTTTGTTCAATGTTATCTTCTTTGTTCGCCAGTTGATGGTATTTACCTTTTCATTTACTGATTTAAGTGACTTTTGTTGTGGACTTTTGCATTTTATTTCACTAAAAACTAATGTTGGGGGTTTGTCACTTATCACCAGCTGCTACTAGAATATGCTGATCCATAAACTAGGAAAATGATTTTTGTATTTGTTCTGTCCCTGAATACTGTGTAAAAGCATCCCTTGCTAATGAATATTTCATCATCGGTTTCTGAAGATTATAGGCAATTCTGGTTTCCTATGGTTATTCCTCGTTTTTATTGCGATGGATTGTTGCCTCCAAGAGCTTCCAAGTTCCACTGCTTACTTTGTATAATGATCTCATTACTTGGTCGTTGACTTTGGCAGAAAATTTTGCTGCGCTACTATTAAGTCACTTTTCACTGACAATGGAAAACATGGAGGTGAGGCTACTGTGGAGGCTGTTAAAATGATTGCAGAACTTGTAAAAGCGTACAACTGCCAATTACATCCTGATTCTATTGAAGTAAGGATTCTCACTCTGTTTTTGGAATTTATGTTTCTATGCTTTAATATATGTTTTTAGACATTCATAATTGTATGCAGCCACCCTGGTTTTGTAGTTAGGACGAACATTTACAAACTAGACCAATGTACTTAAAAGCCAGTGGACTATCCCTTACTGCACCTTAATTCCAAATTTCAGATCATGCTTACCAATGGATGTCAAAGACGATAATCTTTTTCCACATGGATGTCTCCTCATTGTTGTTGTTCTCCAATAAGATTCTTTTGTTACATTTGCTTTTCTATTTCTGAGAATCGATTGCATGGTAAAATTTTCTTAGGATAAGCATAAAGAAATATGATCACGGAGGAGAAAAACGCATACCTATTCAATATTTTGCAGTGCCTAGAACAATTCCACTATAGCTATAGCTATGGCTGTTTTACTTGTGTGGTAGAGCCAGGTTGGATTATCCTACTATTTCGTTCTCTCTCAATGATGATATCACTCCCCTATTACATCATTCTTTAAAAAGTTTCCTGCAATTTTGAAGAGGACCTTGAAAACTGGAAAATTCAGTTATATGGATAATGCAATGGATGATCCCAAGAGCATAATATTTTTAACTATATGATTGAATCATATTTATTATTTACTATTTTGTACCTTGTCAATGATTGATTGCATTTCCCTCCTAGGTTTTCTTGTCTCTCTCCTTCGATGAAGATCTTGGAAGACCAGAAAAACCTGTTATGAATAAGAGAGGCCAAAACAATAAATCCAAGAAGAAAAAGGATGCAGATGATCAAAAGCAGATGCTGGAAAATGAGAGAAAGAAAAATAGGAAAGAAATGTTGTCAAAGACAAGAGAGGAGGTATATATGCCATGTTCAGACTTCTATTACTTTAATATGGCCTGTTTGTTGCCATTACTTATATAGTTGGAGACTCTTGCAGGTAAAAGCGGACTTCAAAGCTGCTTCATTTGCTCAAGATACTCACGAGCGAAGAAGGATGCAGTCACAGACACTTTCAGCTGTATTTGAAACATTCTTCCGCATCTTAAAGCATGCTGTGGAGTCAACGTAAGTATACGAGTAACAGATTTCCAAATGATCGGTAGACCTGAATATGGAGCTTGCTCGTTTTCTCATTCATGTTGAGTTTGAAAATTAGTTTATTTTTTATTTTGATGGGTGACCATGCAAATGGTTTGAGAAGTTTTCTAAAAAATAGACATTTTGTTTATATATCGACATCAATAAGAGTCAAATGCTGACGGTAGTTCTATACTTCTCTACTGTTAAACAAAATATATTTTTTTCTCACTTCTTTGTGAAGTTGAATCGCTTAAAACTGCATGGGGATATTCTACTAAACTATTTTTTTGTTAGAAACTAGGTTTGGTCTACTAAACTCTAGTTTCTGTTATCCTGGAATGACATGCCATAATAAGTTTACACAAAGTACTATTATGTGGACTGCCTTTCCAAAACGAGAACTGGCTTAAAATGTAGCTTATGTAATAAACAGCATCATATCCAAATTATGTTATACTATCATCTCAAAGGCGAGTTCTCATGTTTTTCATCTTTTGTTGCTCAGGTCAGAAGCCAGTTCTGTGCCTGGTACATCAGGAAGTCACCCCCTACTTGCTCCGTGTTTGAATGGAATAGGAAAATATTCCCATCTAATTGACATGGATTTCATGCCGGATCTCATGAACAGTCTGGGAAAACTTGCTGGAAATGGCAGCAAGTCTTCCGAGAAATCTTATCAATTAACAGTGTCCGAACGATTGCGCTGCTGCATTGTTGCTTTCAAAGTGATGAAAAGCAATCTAGATGCTTTGAATGTCGATTTACATGACTTCTTTGTCCAGTTCTACAATCTGATACTGGAGTACCGGCCAGGAAGGTAAATGCATTATTGTTCAAGTGTGTGATTTCTGTATTTACCTGCTGTTGCCATGTTCTACTTTGGCTCTCTCCGTTAAGAAAATTGAGCACGATTCAATATAACATACCTTTTGGCAGCCTGGCAAGACTTATCTAATATCTGCCTGCAGGGATCAGGGAGATGTGTTAGCCGAAGCACTAAAGATAATGCTCTGTGATGATAGACAGCATGATATGCAAAGGGCTGCTGCCTTCATAAAACGGTTGGCCTCGTTTTCATTATGCTTTGGTTCAGCCGAGTCCATGGCTGGTGAGTTTTCTCGACTTCGAATCATATAAAATCAAATGAAGTCTTTCTTCAATATTATGACTTTTCGTTTTTCTCTTCTTCGACAAAATTCAGCATTAGTTACAGTGAAGCATCTTCTTCTGAAGAATCTGAAATGCCGTAACCTCTTAGAAAACGATGCCGGAGGTGGATCTGTTGCTGGTGCCATCGCCGTAAGTAACTTTTGTTTGTCTATCCTTCAATTCAGACTAAATTTTCAAAATTTGGGTTTTTGAATTATTCCAGTATACTTTCACTGAATGCAGAAATACCAACCCGATGCGATGGACCCTAACCGTAGTGGTGCACTAGCTTCAGTTCTTTGGGAGCTCAACCTTCTAAAGAAGCACTACCATCCAGCTGTATGTTCGATTGCTAATAGTATCTCAACAATGAACACTTCTAATAACCAGGTCTATCATTCCCATGTGTCCCCACTTCAAGCCTATACAGATTTATCACAGTTAGACAAGTCTTTTGCTCCGTCTAGTGATGTAAAGAAAGGAAATAACAAGAAAAGAAAGGGAAGCGACAATATGCCCGTTAAAGTTGTGTCGGAGGCTGATTTAATCGATCAAATGGATGAGAATGTTGTTAGAAAAAAACTCGGTGAGCACTTCTTCTTGCTTCGTGATATTCAAGAGAATGAGAAATTGAGATCCGAGTTGGATCGCACAACATTGTCGCTAAACCTTTATGATCAATACAAAAAGCAAAAGAAGAGGAAGACGAGGTAAAGATCAAAGGTACGTCGGATGAGTGTAAGCGTTTACACTTTTTTCCCGCTCCTTTTTTTTTTGTCCGGTTTTCCCACCTTTTGCAGTTTTGACTTTGGGCCACAAAAGTTCACGAGTCCTATTTATTTTTTGTTGTGTAATGATTTGAACTGCATTGCATTCTTTTTTCATGGAACTATGTCATACTTAAAGAACACGATAATTGAATATCATGGAAACACGACTGTATGTTCGTATTGCGTTATACATGTATGGTCGAGTGAAATTCATGCATCTAGATCTATTTGCGTCTTTTTGATTTGTAGTTACATTTATGAACATTTAGGGATGCAACACACAGTGAACTTCACCAGAGTTAATGTTAAATATTTATTTTACAGTTAATATATGCATAATTCAATAATATATTCTTGTAACTGTGCATTATTTGATATTTGCTTGCGTATGATTTACTTGTATGCCTCTATTACAATCCCATGTGGCTTGTGCGTTTATTAAGGAGAAGCATTTTGTTCACATTGGAAAATGGTCCTTATAAGTATTAAATAAAAATAAATAAATGAAAAATCTGATCAACAAATCACAAACAAACATGTCCTTGCTACAGATTATGTATTTGCATTTGTATAATGTTTGTTTCGTTCGATTAATGATTAATTGTTGACAGTTAGACATTAATTTATATGCTTTAACTTAATTAAAACTAAATAAAATAGTGAAGCTGGAAGACAAATCAGCACTTATTTATGTTGTCCCGAAAAACTGCGGGGCCTGGAACACGACTTTGATATGACTTTAACGCGGGATTATTAAACAAATTCAACACCCATGATTAAATTCCAGGGAATTTCCTCCCTTCCATTCCTTCTGCAAATGATGATTTCTTTGTTGAATCTGATCGGTGGAGTACTTATTTTATAATGAATTATTGCATTTTTATACCCTGCTACGAATATGTAATCGATACATATAATTCGATTTTTGTAATACTAAGTACGAGTAATATTAGTTTAATAAATTTTTAATTATTTTGATCAAACTTCATGTAATTTTCCTTTTTTTTTTTTGGGAAAAACAGAAGTTGAAAAATGTTAGTTTTGAACAAGGATGAAGTAAGGTGTGGCCAAATTTAGGGTGTGTAGACATTCTTAGTAATAATAGTTGACTTCAACCAAATTCGCAGGCTTAATGATTAGTGGTGATTATTAGGAACGAAATTACTCTAATTACACTCTAAATACTCCAATAATTAGTAAAAGACATGTCAGAAAAAAGTATGGATGAAGGCAGTTGTCAATTCGAGGTATCATTTTCAGTTGTAGGTAGGGTCATGAATCATGATTAAAAACTACTAATAATTTTCAGTTTTCTTGTTTGATTAGCTATTAATCAAGTTATTAAGTACTAATTGATTAATGACAAATCAATGTCATGTGGGGTTATGGGCTACAAAGTAGGGTTCATATGCAGACGATTCTCTCCACCACTAGGGCATGTTATCAATAATATTTCATGAAAAATATTACAACTTATCTAAACCTATTTATTTAAAAAAGAAATGATTTATTTAAAGCTAAAAAAACATAGAACATAAAATAATATATCTCATTCGAGAAACAATTAATTACAGGAAGTGTTTGAGCAAATTCCATTGCGTTGACTTGAATAGTCCAATGATGGAGCTTAAACCTAAGTCAGCCTTTTTTAACTGAAAAACTGAAATCTATATATTATTACAATTATTATACATATATATATATAAAGAAAATTATAAGGGTTTGCAAGGAAGTCTCGATTCCTGTTTAGCATGTGACTGTCAGTGTGTACAAAAGAAAATAGCTAGAAAAACTATTATTAAGGTTGAAAATCAAATCAAGGACCTCAGATATTGATCAATATAATATCCATTTAAGCTTATTTAAGCTTCGTTTATTGGCATAACGAACCAAATTTGATTCGAGCTATAAGTAGATCGAGTTTCGTATAGCTCAACTAAAACTACCTTGAGTTTGATTCAATTCATAACCGAATGATTGTCAATAGCTTGTCAAAACTAACAGCAAGTTCAACCACCTCAATTATAATTTAAATTATTTGTTAATGACGGTACTCTATCCATAATTAATACACGCCTTCACCTAATTCATGTAGTGACTAATGATAATTAAGTTTAATAGATATATATATATATATATATATATATATATATATATATATATATATATATATATACATACATACATACAGGATAAAACAGAAATGTCCACATTGTTTTAGGTGGAGAAAACGAGGACCTTAACCTACGTCGATGGCTCTGTATTATTTACTTAAAAATAATATTTAGCAAGTTTAATTTATTAATGTTAAATTTGACTTCGGGTCGTTTTTCTTTTTTATCCAGTAGTACGGCCAACGGCCATCCCTAGTTACGTATATTACATAATATTAATGTTGAAACGTTTTTACGCACTAAGATCACTTACTAGCTACGATAATTTAACTTGAGTTCGAACATATTTTATAGGTTGAACTCGTCCGACCTTATTAGTCCAGCGATGTTTACATCTGTTATACACAGTTCGCGAGTAATTGCATGAGGATGCAATTTATCTAGCATATATCATTTGCAGTGCTATTAAAAAAACTCAATTAATGTAACTTGATTTTAGGAAAAAAATAAATAGAAAGGACTATAGGGCCCTTCACTATTCAACGATTTATAAGAGAAAGCTAGTAGTTATAATTGAGTTAATAGGATTAAAACAGAAGAAAATACATTTAATACCATATTGAAATCGAGTGACCATTAACCATTGTTTGGATTAAATAACATCCCACTACAGATGGATACTTGTGATTATGTGCATAACTACGATTAATAATTACCCGATATAAATAACTGGATATAGCATAAAATTTCTCTCGGTACTTGCAATACGAATTTTGACTAATAAAGGTATCCAACCTAATTTGACTGAACTGCTTAAAACAGGATTACCGAATTTCAAGAACAATACCAATCAACCTTGCCAAACAGTCAAAATAATAATTAAAAATTAACACTAATTATTTTGGTAAGACGATGCAATTAGGCGTTAATTACTCCCCCCACACTAATCAGTTGACAGCATATCCCAGAATCCGTACAAGATATGCATATCCAAAATATTCGATATTATAACGTGACAAAACTACCCCACCGAAGAGTCAATGAAATGACTATTACACCCCTCCGTTCCTAGGGAATCCTAAGCCGGCGATTTCGGAAGGCACCATGAATCACGGGATTTGCAGCCGAAGCCGAGCCGAGCGGCTTTCCCTATGTGTCAGCCTAGCTTTACCGTTCATTCCGTTACTTTCCGTTTTTTTTGTGTACGTGGACCGTACGATTGGAATACCCATTTTTGTGAATCCAACCAATTAACTTCCTCTCTACTTTTATTTGTACCTTTTCCTTTCAATCTTTATTATACTTTAATTAATTAATTAATATATACGGAATGGTATACGGTATACCGTATACGGTATAGTGTATACAGATAGTATATTCCTAGATCTCCTGGTTGCTTTTTGATTGCATTAATTAAATTCAAATCTGTCATATTAAATTTTCTCACCGGAGATTTTAAATTAGAGATGTGTACGAATCCCAGAGAAAGTAAAGAAGAATGTATGTAATAAATATGAAGAGAAAAAGAGACATTAATTAATTAATTAAAATTAGAGGGAAAAATCCAACTAAAAATACTTCTAATTCATTAATTAATTAATCCTTTAAACAAAACCCTAAACACTTTTTTTGCTTCTCCACTTTGTTTCATCACAAAGTGTTTAATTACAACCGAGAAGCAGAAAAAAAAAAGGAAAATAAATAAAGAAAAAAGAAAAAAGAAAAAAAGATATATAAATATTAATTATATATCATCACCGGGAATCTTTTCGGTCATTTAAAAAAAGAAAAAAAAAAGATACTCAACACGGCGTCGTTTGGTGACTACTACAACTCATCGGAGAGAGAGTCCAGAAGGTGAATCGACTCGCCGCCGCCGAGGCGCAGCGCCTCCAGGACGCGCTCGAAGAGGAACACGTGGCAGGGGATCCGGAGCACGCCTTGCTGCTCGTAGCCGTACTCCGCCGCGGATTTGTTCAGCAGCTTCACAAAAATCGGGTGGTTCAACAGCTCGGCGCTGACGACGAACCTCTCCATCTCGTCTCCGACGTACACCGGCAGGTGTCCCTCCGGCACGCCGCCGGACCTCTTCCGGAAGGACTCCGCTCTGTGTGCCAGCCTGGAATGAGATCTGAGCAAGCTGTACTGCGAGGAATCGGCAACTCTGGAGAATTTCCTCATCAACTTCTTCATGTTATATAATTTGCAATTGAGAAAATTGAAAATTGAAATCGATTATCGGAATAATGAAGTGAGAGAATTAGAGAGAGTTGTTGTAATGTTCTTCTTATTTTCTAGTGAGAGAAAGTGTGGGAGGAGATGAGGAGAGAGAGAGAAGGGGGAGTGGGGGGTTATAAATAAATAAAGGAAAGAAAGGTGGGTACACAGTACAGAAGGGCGTACTTGGCAGGTACAATTATTGTTTGGTGTTGGAGTTTATATTAATTAATTACAATTTCTCCTAATTAATTATACTTTCCTGCTTAATTAAATACGGCAAATAAATAAATAAAAATTAAAGCACCATTCTTGTGTGGGGAGCAAAATTGGGTTTTTATTTTATTTTTTAAATAAAATAGCAAATCTTTTATGACGTCACACCTTTTGAGTGTGTGTAAACTATAAGCTACGGCTGCATTTGAATTTTTATTATATGAGTTATAAATAAAATGAATTGATTAATTAAAATATATAATATGGTTGGGCAAGTAATTAATTACTTAGAATGATATTAGAAGATAGTATAATTTCTTGGAGATTTCGTCGAAACTATAATTGGAGGAAGTCAATGGGCACTCTCTTTGAATGAAGTTACTACGAATCAAAGCATAAAAATGGTATCTTAGGTCAGAAAAGAAAGAGCCCAGTTTGATTTGATTTGCTGGTAGAGAATTAAGTGGGTTACAAAATACAATGACATTTACTTCGTGACTAGTCTAACTAAAGATAGTACAGTACAAATTAATATAATTGGGATTGACAAAATTATATTAATTTAGTGAAATATTAAATTATCAAATTAATAATTTATAACTTTTTCACGTAGTCGAAATTGAAGTTATTATTGTAAGCGAATTTATTAATTTATCGATGTTAGTAGAGTATGAAGTTAAATAATAGAATAAATTACGACCACCTTCTTGATGTAAAGTGTAATTAAAAAAAACTCATATTTCTAAGAAATTACATCCAACCCCCTGAAGTTTGTAAATTTATCACACCCGCCCCTACAAAAGGATATCAATGTAAGAAATCTATAAATTGCGGGATGAATGTAATTATAGAAAAAAAAAATGTTCTAATCACGTCGCCAACCTGGTTTAGTAGATATTTAATAATAAAAAAAATTGATTTTGGTTCAAAAATATTTGTTTAATTAATAAACTCGAAGATTCTGACAGTTAAGTCTTGTGTATTATTTAATTTTTTCATGGTCCGAGTTAAGACTTAAGTTCAAGTGTATTCACATTGGAAGAAGCCTATTTTGCCTCCACCGCGGACGCAAAAACTGAATTATTTATTCAGGTGTTTTATTTATTTTTATTTATTACTAATATATAATTCAATCATTGGAGCAGTACTAGAATTATACGAGAACACATACATGTGGGGTTTAATTTGCAGTTGCAGTGTTAAGAGCTGTAATAACTAATACGTAATTACGCGTATGCTTACAACTTCTTTATTTTTAGATATAAATATATAATTAATAAGCTTAATGTGAAAATGTTAGAGAAATTATAAATTAAGTTTGAGACTTGCGATGTTAATTATTGCTACCAAATTTATTTAATACTATAATGATTAATATAGATAGGAGGGTTATTGCAGGGTTCTAGTATTAATTAAATTTCAGTTGTGAATTTTAAATTGGGGAATTATACAAATCACAATTTCAAAAGAAAAAAGTTAAAAAAAAAATCCGCACGTCAAGCTTGATACGGGCTTGTTTGACAATTAACAAATAAGCATAAGCCCATTAAGATAAGCCCAACATGATAGGCCCACAACGAAGAACCCATGATGACTTAGCTCGGTATTATGAGCGAGGTCGTCGTATGGTGCGAACCTCGGAACCGCGGGAGTACCTTAACTCGCTAGCCCAATACCAAAACGAAGTAGGGCGAGCCCAGGACAATACAGGCCCAAGATATATGACTTGGGGGAAAAGAGAAACCCTAAAAAAGGAAAGCCTTGGGGGCCAAGCTTTCCTCATCTATAAATAAGAGAATCAACACACACACACAAGAATACACACTCATTTTTTATTACATTACATACATATCTCTCCCCTTATTCCGATCACTGACTTGATCGTCGGAGCTTTCCCGCCGGGAACCCCTCCCGGCGTTGCAGGTCAGTCCACCGGAGTACGGACGAAGCTGGCTTGAAGAAGACGAAGACCTACGGACAAAATCAAGTGGCGCCGTCTGTGGGAAAAATCTAGAAATCTTGGGGATAACTTCCGGGAAAATATCAGATCTACCCCCCGGAAGTCCAGATCTGAGCTATCAACGTAGAGAACAATGGAGGAAGGAGATATCATTGCCCGGAATTTGCAGAAGGATTTAGACGCAGTAGCTCGCAGTACACCGGCTGATCCATCGTCCGTTCAGAAAGATAAGTCGGGGTGTAGCTTCCTTACACCTGAGAAGGAGGGCCGGATCCCTTTCACCCCAAGCAGCCCCTCTTTTGGGTTCCAGGATGGCGAAGCTGTTTTGAGAAGACCAGCCGCAACCCCCGCCCAGGCTCCCAATGAGCGTACATATACCCGGGACGAGGTGGAAACCATGATCACTACGGCCATCCGAAACTACACCCAAAATTTACCTCACGACAACCGACTCAGGAGAGATCCCAGACGTTCTCCGAACGAAGGACGAGCTGAGGACGAGGGCGACAGTTATTCGGAGAACCGAGGGGGTAATAGTCATGGCGTTAGGACAGAAGTTGACAGCTTAAGACGCGATATCGATGAGTTGAAGGCTTTGCGAAGTAGGCCAGCGCGAGATCTCGTAGGATCTAGCCCTTTCGCTAGTCATCTCGATAGCGACCCTATACCAGCTAACTACCGACCAATCTTATTCGAGTACAACGGCACGACAGATCCAGCTGAACACTTGAGTCGGTTTAACAACACTGCCTCACTTCACCAGCTCACAGAAGGGGTGAAGTGCCGTGCCTTTGTCACCACTCTAGCAGGCCCGGCCCAAGCATGGTTCGGTCTGTTACCTGCCGGAACCATCCGATCTTTTGAACAACTTGCCAAAGCCTTCATGAACCAGTTCGCTAGCTCGAAGAAGTGCAAGAAGACCTCTCTGTCACTATTCAGCGTTCGTCAGAAGGAGAAAGAAAGTCTCAGAAACTATATCAAACGATTCACTTCGGCTACCTTAGAAGTCCCCACTACCAGCGACGAGGTGCTCATGGCGGCTCTTTCGCAAGGACTGAGAGATGATGAGTTTTTCCGAGCTTTGGCGCTGGAACCTTCGCCCGATTTTGACCATCTCCTAGAGAGGGCGTCTAGGTTCATTAACTTAGAAGAAGCCCGGCAGCAAAAAGTAGAAGAATCTCACCAACCCGCGAACACACGAGCCAACGAAGTAAAGAGAGTCAAAGAACCACTATTACCTCGAAGGGATGCTAGTACCCCCGGCCGAGGTATCGCCTCAGACGCTAAGGGATCACGATTCCAATCGTATCAGCCCCTTACGGCTCCTCTGTCCCAGGTGTTGTACGCGATCGAGAAGAGAGCTGATCTGCGGTGGCCTAGGACCGCTCGCGGAGCCCCCCGTCGAGATCCGACGTTGGGTACTTTTTGCCGTTTTCATAACGAATACGGACATACGACCGACGATTGCGCACATCTGAAAGACGAAGTGGAACGTCTCATCAGAGATAACAAGATCGGGGATTTTGTGAAGATAGATTCACCTCGGGGACAGAAGCGTGAAGCCCAGTTTGGAAACCCACCACGAGCACCGCCCCCACCGCCAGCGCCGAAGAGAGGGTACATTCAGATGATTTCAGGGGGCCCTACGGGAGGAGATACTCACCGGGCTAGGAGGCGTCATCTCGGTAGCCTAAAAAATAATCATGAAGTTTGCCAAATCTCTACACCGAAGCATCGTCAATATCCCACTATCTCGTTCGGTCCTGAAGATGAAGCGGACTTAGACGATTTCCATTGTGACCCTCTCCTCATCACGATTAACGTTGGAGGGTACGACGTCGCTCGCGCCTTCGTTGATCAAGGAAGTTCGGTGGATGTCATATCCTACGAGTGTTTCCTACAAATGGAGCTTGACCTCCCGATCTTCCCTGTCACCACGCCGATATTCGGGTTCACGGGGGGATCCCTGACGCCGGTTGGACAAGTTAAAATCCCTGTCACTATAGGAACGCCACCTCGAACCCGCACTCAAACTGTCAATTTCGTCATTGTCGAAGGATCGCCAACCTCGTATAACATCGTGATAGGGCGACCGATGTTACATACCTTTCGGGCAGTCCCTTCGACCATTCATCAAAAGCTTAAGTTTCCGATTGATGGAATGGTGGGAGAGGTCAGGGGCGACCAAGCCCAATCGAGATCGTGTTATGTCGAAATGGTTAAGATCGCAGAGAAAGGCCGACGCGATACCCTCACCAAAGAAGATTTGGGAGACGAGAAGCGCCCCCGAGTTGATCCAGAGGATAAAGTTAATCATGTACAACCCATGGACGAATTGATGACAATCGACCTCGTCCCCGGAATGATGAAACAAACCCGGATAAGTAAGGATTTAGAACTACCTCTTCGGGACGAGTTGATAGCGTTATTGCGGTCTAATGAAGATGTTTTTTCTTGGCAACCAAGTGATTTGACCGGTATATCGCCGCGAACTGCTGTACACAGGCTTAATTTACGACCCGAGTGCAGGCCCGTCAAGCAAAAACGGCGACACTTCGGCACCGAAAAAGACGAAATCATACAGAAGGAAGTTCAACGACTTCTGGAAATCGGACACATCCGGGAAATTCAGTTCCCTACGTGGCTGTCCAATGCGGTGTTAGTACAGAAAGCCAATGGCCAATGGCGAATGTGTATCGATTTCAGGGACTTAAATAAGGCTTGTCCGAAAGACGATTATCCTTTACCTCGCATAGATCAGCTTGTAGATGCCACTGCTGGATGCGAGCTCCTTAGTATGATGAATGCCTCGCAGGGATACCACCAAATTCCGCTAGACGAGAAGGACCAGCCAGCAGTAAGTTTTGTCACCGCCACGGGGACTTACTGTTACGTGGTGATGCCTTTTGGCCTGAAAAATGCAGGAGCCACGTATCAGCGACTGATGGATAGGATGTTTCGGGCCCAACTCGGACGCAACATTGAAGTTTATGTTGATGACATGTTAGTTAAAAGCAAGAGGCGCTCTACGCATCTCGCAGACCTAGCTGAGACCTTTGCAACTCTTCGTTTATATGGAATGAAGTTAAACCCTGCTAAGTGTGCGTT